TTCCTATATATTCTCATAGACTACACTTTTTTACCTCTTCCTCTTATGTTCATAAAATAAAACCTCATTCAGTAACCAACCACCTTGAGAGGTCCTTGGATCTTGTATTGGGTGAACAATTAATAAAAGAAAAGATAAACCACCAAAGTTTGTGTTGATATATTAATCCTTCATTGAGGATTTAATGAGCTTTGATAGATTTATATGTTGAGTAGAATTATCATTTGCTTCACCTTAAAGTAATGAGTTTTTCATTTTGCCCTCATCAAAAATTCAATTCAGGGTTGGGGGGGGGGATTTTTATTCATTCACCAAACCTGCAAAAATATGTCTAGAAAAGAGTATAGAGTATTTTCATTTGAATTTCTGAATAAAATTTCTTATCAATACAATAACAGAAAATCTTTCTAAAATGCATGTCTGATTTTATATGTATCTTCATTGAGATGCTTTTTATAAAATAGACTATGCTTAAGTAAAATAATTAAGTATGCTTAAGTAAAATAATTTCAAGTAAAATTGAAAAAACATTACCTTTCTTTTAATAACAGTTACTATGCATTGATCCTTATAAAATATCTGAGAAAAGATTCTGGATTCTTTACATGATGAACTTAAACAAATATGTATCATCTTTCCCATTCAAATTTGTTATGTTAAAAGTGGATGTGAAGAAAACTTAATGAGGATACAGAATGGCATGATAATCCAAACCAGAATACAAGACTTTACCAATGATGGAATAGAACGAGAGGAGCATTATCCATTCACAAGACTTGATTTATGATTATTTTCAGTACAAATAATCAACTCAATACAAAAGAAAAAGAAATGTAGTATTATGATTACTTGTATTATTTACATTATTCGGACTGTTGTCCTCACCTTCATTGCCATATTCACAATGCTTCGTCCACTGTACACTCTGGCCTTCATCAGGTGATTGGAATTTTGAACCAAACCCTTTATTTCGTCCACCAGGATTGATTGTTCTAGAACCAGAGAGTCGTAAGTTCAATAACAGGCCACAGTAGTGGTAAACCAAAACTTGGAGAGTTAAGTTAAAGGGAAATAACTGAAACATCTGGAAGAGGCATGACATGTGGAACTAGAACAATCTACCCTGGTGGATGAAATAATGGGTTTGGTTTGGAATTCCAGTCACCTGAAGAAGGCTGCAGCGTACAACAGCCAAAACGTTGTGAATATGGCAATGAAGATAACACTCCAAATCATGTAAATAATGCAAAAGAAAAGAAGTTACAATTGTGGCTTCATGAAATTTTAATGAACACCAAAAAAGGGTTTCAGATTAAATTGATGTTGGAATCAAAAATGATTTCAGAAGATGAGTTTGTCTGAATCGGTATAATTTTTTTTCTCCTCAGAAAAATGTAACAAGGAACCAAAATAATTGCCAAGAAGAACCACAAAAACACAAAGAAGATTTCAAATATGTCCATGTTATTGACATGAATAGTTCTCTTCAAAATCTTACAGAATCTCAAATGCAAAAAAAAGAAATCTACTATTTGGTATCTTCATGAACAGATCATATATCACAACAGTGAATGGAAAGAAAATCTGTGATTTGGACAATTGAATTTTGAAAAAGCAAAAGAACTTTCTATATTCAATGACAGGATGAGCACCAAAAATGAATAAACTTCACCATATATATATATATATATATATATATATATATATATATATATATATATACACACACACAGGGTGTATCAAAAATACTTTTACAAACTTTGGGGGTTGGCTCCTCACACCAAAACACATACAAAAGTCCATATAAACATATGACTGGAAATCTTTCATTTTTGAGTTATTAAGTTTAAAGAAAGTTTATGGTAGATGGCACTGTTTTGCTATGTAGACTAGGTTACGTTTGTCATTTTTGTATATTTTTGGCTAGTCTGTCTTCACCATTTAACATGTGCAATGGTGAGTTAACTGAGAAGTGTTCCATTTAACAATGACAAGATATTCATATCATGAGCAGGCAGATATGATTTTTACATACGGCTGTGCGAATGTTAATGGATGCGAGACTGCATGGCTGTATCAGATTGTGCTTCCAGACCGAAGGCAGCCGAATCATCCAACCATTGCTGCTGTTTTTTGTCACACTGCTGAGACAGGATTCATCATGGTACCACAAACTACAGATCAAAGAAAACAGAAATCAATTTGTATTTCTCACCCAGAAGAATACATTCTACAGGCTGTCTATGATGATCCAGGTATCAGCAAAAGTGGTCCTAGAATGTCATACGTCTCATAGTATCACATGGAAGTTACTTCAAGAGCAGCTCCTGTATCCATATTATTTGCAAAGTTTGCAGGGTCTTTCGCCCTCTGAATACTCATCATGGAAGAACTTTTGCCAATGGTTTATTGCACAAACTAACAAACCATTATTTGTCTCTTCAGTCTTGTTTATGGATGAGGTAACATTTAGAAGAGATGGAATAATAAATTTACACAACCAACATTTGTGGGCTGATCAGAATCCCCATAGTACAATACAGGCTAGACACCAGCATCAGTTTATGATTAATGTATGGGCTGGAATTGTAAGTGACTGTCTGGTAGGTCCATATGTTCTCCCAGCATGTCTTACAGGAGCTGTCTACAGAGACTTTATTTCAAACACACTTCCAGACCTGCTATGCTAGAGGATGTACTCCTGCTAATATGAAGACACATGTGGTTCATGCTTAATGAGCCTCTAGAGCATTTTAGTCACATTGTGATGCACTGGCTGACATCTGAAAGTTGGACAGGTAGGTGAGGACCAGTTCCAGGCCTGCACATTCCCTCCACCCCAACCTCAATCTTTTGGAGTTTTATTGGTAGGACCACCAAAAACAATTGGTTTATGAAGAAGACACTAATAATGCAGAGGTGCTTCATAAACATGTCATGGACGCCTGCGAAACCATTCAACATCATGTGGGAGTTTTAGACATGTGTTTATATATATATTTACCTTGTTTTGGTGTCAGGAACCCACCCCCAAATTTTGTAAATGCATTTTTGTTACACTCTGTATATATACACATACCTACCACACATAAACACAAAAAGAAATCCTGAAAAATCTGAACAAACAATTCTTTTTCAAAGAATTCTTGATCAAATTTTCATGTCACCTCTCACACACATCTCTCTTTCTCTCTCTCACCCTATGTGTTTGTGTGTGTGTGTATGTATATATATTTATATATAATCAATTCACCCCAAGCAAGGTGATAATGCCACTAAGATACAAGGGAGTTAATAGAAAGAAGTGAAAGAGAAGGAAAAGACTTTAGAAGAAACCAGAAAGCCAATAATAATAATAATAGTAGTATAAATTTCAGCATTTAGAAAAAACTGGAAAGCCAATCCCAAAGAGGAAACAAGAGATAAACCTCTATTCATGTTCAAAAGACTGAGGAGGCGTGTAAGCCGACACACACACACACACACACACACACTTAGGCAACAAAATGTTTAAACATGTTTTATTAAATTTGACAGAAAAAAACCTATCTTCTTAATTGTTTTATTACATTTTTTCAGTTTGTTTATAAGTCATCACATATCCAGATCAAATTTATAAAATCTACTGCTTTTCATAAAGAAATATTGCCTCTTTTTAAATCTAATACGTAAAATGCAGCAAAATTAAACAAAAGCCATCTCAGTTGAATTCAATAAAACATATTTGCATGTGTGTTCATAAGGATCTAATAATCTACATATGTATGTATGTATGTATGTATATATATATATATATATATATATATATATATATATATATATATATATATATATATATATATTATTGTAAATATTATTTTTATTGGGTGCATGGGTTTTCAGTTGTTACTCCTGTTCTTTTTATTTTATCAAACAGTGAAATTAACATCAACTGCCCTAAGTTGAAAAAAACCATACAAAAAAAAAATTGTGCCTTGGACAGGAACTTGGACTTCTCAACTTCGGGTGGTTGCTATTAAAATTTCATAAAATAAAAAAACAAAAAAAAAAAACAGGGTTAAAAACTCAAACATGTGTAACCACTAAAATTAACATTTAGGGTAATAAGAAACAATGTTGGATAAAAATCCTTAAAAAAAATTACACACATATATATATATATATATATATATATATATATATATACACACACACTCGCATATCATGGGACCTTTGAGGACCTAATTTTGAAGTTAATTTGACCACAGGAAATGAATATATAGTTTGGCCAGCAGTACATACCCTAATTTTATATCTTGCGTATGATGCAACACCATTAAAATTAGCAGCAAAATTAAGTCTTCAAAAATTGTATGATACATGAGTATATATATATATATATATATATATATATATATATATATATATATATATATATATGGTGAATTTCTGATGGGAATCAACAGCAGAACAATGAGACAAAAACCAGTTGACTAATTTAAGAAAAGATCTTCTAAAGTGAAATATAAACACAATACTTTTTCTCATCTTTTTTTGCTCATGTCAGTTTGCATCACAGGCGACTTTCTTGCCATGTTTTTTGTATATTCTGCCTGTTTTATTACAACAACTTGAAAGTTTTGTTTTAATATGAGAAGTAAAGGGTCTGCTACCTTTTTACAAGATTCAATGAAACATTTGCCAATTTTATGGAATATGTGAAATAAAAATGATAAAAGTCAAAATAAAAGAAAATTGATAGAAATGGCTGGTAAAAATTAAGACGATGACAAAGAATGGTTTGAATAAAGAATCAGATTTGAATTTGAAAGGAAAAAAAAAACTTTTGGCAAGATCTTACTAGCTAATTTGGTTGAAAAAAGAGCTGTATAAGAAATGTGGAAAAGTTCCAATCTCACATCCCAGATGTTGAATGAATGATGCTTCTGGATTAAATGTTGAAAGTGAAACTGCAACAAAAAAAATTATGCTAAAAGAAGTTGTGGGAAGACCAGAAAAGTTCACCAAACACAGCATTTTTCAACAGGGTTCATGCCACTTCCCAGAGGACATTTGTAGGCTTTTGCAAATTCTTTTGAATTTGACAGGGGTCCTTTGACTCTAAAAAAGAACATAAGAAAAAATTAATAGAATGAAAGAATTGAGAGAAAAGCATGAATTCATTAGTCATTAATATATATATATATATATATATATGGGTCATATAAACATTACTTACATATGGATACACATCAATAAAAATAATGGAATACAAAGCAAACAGAGCTGTTCTTTTTTTGAATTTGTCGTCAATAGTCCAGTTAAGCTCAGGTCAATATAAGTATATCCTCTTTCATTTCACCTGGGTCACTCCCCTTTTATTCAAATTTTTGACCACACATGCAAATTAGCAATACTTTTTTGCCCATACATGCAAATTAGGTATGGTCTATGACCATGGATGCAAATTAACGATTTTTACCATGCATGCAAATTAGCAATAGTTTTTGACGATACATGCAAATTAGCATTAGTTTTAAAAGAACCAGAACGAAGTATGCACTTTACCTAAATTACAAATGGTGACTCTGACCTGGCAGGCGAGACATCGTGGCCTCTTAGCTAAAATCTAAATCGGTTTCTTGCCTGGGTCCTATTTCACCAGAAAATCTTACAAATAAAATTTTATTTACAATCACCAAAATAAAAGAGAAAATATATTTAAACTTTTCTGAAAGAGTGATACATAGAATGTACAAAAATATTAAATACATAGCATTTTACAAGGAAAAAATAATTTCCATTTCTGCTTTAAATTTAAGCTGTTGGCTTCACCAAACGCCCATTAATTGGCCCTGTTTAGGTCTAAAAAAAAGACAAACATTTTCTCTTTCTTTTTACTTCCTAGATATAGTAAGACGTAGATAAAGGTGTCTGGTTGGAGTGTGTTCTTGACCACTGATCCACTGATGTATACTTTGAATGTTTCTCGAAGCTCTGGCTGGCATATGTGAAGGTTGTCCCCATGAGTGGCAATGTGCAATATCTATGTATATTTTGATTTATACTGTCATCTTAAATAATAGATACATCCTTAAATATAGAATGCTATTTGTTAAATTTATTAAAAAATACAACAGAAATTAACATGCAGAAGATTTGGACATATTTCCAAAATAGAAATGAACTATAAAAATAACAACTGCAGTTTTGAAATTGACTCCAACTCAAATTATTAATTTGCACATTTCTGCAGCACAATCAGGGCATGCCATGCAGCATAGCTAACAATGTGCAACATTTATATGTATTTAAAGAATCTGGTTGGAATGTGTAAAAGTTTTCATAATGGCAAACACAAAGGATTTCTTTAAAGAATTTTGTAAACTGACCATCATAGTTCATATTTGTGGAATTAGATATTGAAAGTTTTCTATCAAGTTTTATCAGGACAATTAGAAACATCTTTCAAAATGGAAGGAACATAGCCTGACTGCCTCAAAGAATTGTATTTTTCAACAAGATAATGATCCCTAGCATACTGCAGTGAAAACAAAGTGGTCCCAGATGAAGAAAATGAAGGTTTTCGAGCAGTCTAGTCAGCCGATTGATCTAAATCTGAGAAAATCTGTGAATAGTGAATTAACTTCAAATTTATCAAAAGATTCTCCAAAACTTTACTGATTATAGGAGTCAGATAAAATTGGTGTTAATTTCTGCAAGAAACTGACCACAAATGATTCCAGATATTTGACAGTTTTCAACTTAAATAATAGATACATCATTAAATATAAAATGCTGTTTGTTGGTACATGTTCAAAACTTTTGCTCTTAAATTTTTTTATTGTATCTTACTTATTATAAAATGCAGATTGTGTGTGTGTGTGTGTGTGTGTGTGTGTGTGTGTGTTCCTTTTCAACCGATATTAACAAAACTTCACAGGACTGTGTAAAATTACCTTGTGGTGGTTCTGACAGTGTCAAAAATTGGAAAAATACAATTGTTTTTGCATGAAATCAATTTGAAAACATGATAAAACACGATTCTGTCACCAGAATGAAAGGGGGACAACTCATATCGAGTTATACTTATAAAACCCGGGTTGTTTGTGTGTGTGTGTGTGTGTGTTCCTTTATATATGGGATCAGATTTCCTATATTTTTCAACCAATTTCAACAAAACTTCACTTTTTTGGGGGCAGGGAGTGTTTCTTATTGTCTTGCACACTTTTTTCTTTATTTTTACATTCAGAATGCTTTAAAAATTCCATTTAAAAGACAATTGTTTATAATAAAATTCTATTCAATCGATAGACTCATAACGATTGAAAACAATGTTTTTGTTTGAGTTTGGGTTTGACCAATTCGTAAAAAAAAAAAAAACTAATTAAGACATGCGTGTCCGTCAACCTTAAACAATAATCTTTGTCAATTTTATTTTTCAGTCTTTATGATGGTCGATACTTGATCTATCTCTTACTGTTACATCCCCGGGTAATGCTGGGCTCTACTGCTAGTTTGATATTTGATTTATGTCTAGGCAAACATTTCTTTATTTTTCATTATACAGAAAATATCTTAAGTATTTACTATATTCAGATCAAGTTTTACATTTAGAGCAATAATTATTAATTTATTAATAATTATTTTATTTACTAAAGATTAATTAATAATTATTATTTTCTTAAAACATAAGTAGATGTGTCCAATGCTTTCGTGTGTCACTATAGGTCAAGACTTTTTAAATATACAAATGGCGAGCAATATTATTATGAAAATATGTATACATGGTGAGTTTTTATAAAACATTAAACAAAATAGAAGACAGTGTCAAGGATTCATGAAATGAAACTAATTTGAAGAAATCAGCAGACATTAATCATGAAATCTAAAATAAATTTAAACATATCAGAAAAAAATTCTCCTTTGTTCCATGAGAACTAAATTAAAATTTAACAAACCAAAAGAAACTCTTTTTGATTCAATGAAACCAAAACAAAATTTGAACAACTCAAGATTTTTTTCCAATATGAAATCAAACAAAAGTTCAGTCTTTATTTATGTAAATCTGTTAAAAAAGTAATTTTCAAATGATTCCTAATATTTCAAAGAAAATAATTTTGTATAAATAAAAAGGAGAAAATCACTATAATTAATAACTTATGATTGATTTTTTTTTAAATGTTTAATTATGCTTAAAATGTTAACAACTTTTGTAATTCATGTTCACAATATGAGGGTAGGAAAATATTTTATTAGCTGTAGTGCTATGAATAATTATTACTAGTATTTTACTTTGATCTTCATCTTTTCTTTATTGGAACTTTACACAGGGACTCAAATCTATAGAATTATTGACATTGCTTCATCTAATAAAAAAGATAATACTGCTGTTATTAAAACTAGTTGGATAAAAGCAAAATAAATATGACACTGTTAAAAATTGCGGAATGATGTGATGGGTTTAAACATTAGATTTGATTTTCTGCAGAGCCATCAAATTTTTTGAACTTAGTGGTTAAAGCAGTTGGTCTCTTCAGTTAAGATTCCCTGAGGTAAAATACATTTCATTAAGTGCTTATTCTTTACTCCCAATCCTCTACTGTTTACTCACTGTTGTAAATGTATGTGATAAGAAAATAAGCACATCCCATTTCCCCTGTCACTTGTAATGAGCTACTATAATAAACATTTTCAGCACTTAAGCTGAATTAGTCAAATAAAGCTTCCTAAGCTTCGACTTAGAGTTGTTGCTATATTACAATATACAACACTGCATATACACACACACACACACACACACATATATATATATATATATATATATATATATATATATAGAGAGAGAGAGAGAGAGAATTGCTGGCCTGAGTTGGGATTAAAAAGCTGAAACCCATTACATTGAAAGTAAATACAAATCAAAATGTAAAATAAAACCAATATAAAAAATAAGAAAGATTTCAGATAAAAGTAAAGCCTTTAGTAAAAAAAAATAAACCTTAGAAAGAACATGAAATTCTTGCACAGCTAAACTTAAGTGAAATTAATTCATTTTTTTTTTTATTCCCCCCTTCTGTGGAAAGATGAGAATGAAAGTACCTGATTGGTCCGGGACTATGACCTTCAGTTCGGATTACATTTAATGCCTCTTCATCTCGCATTTTCCCACACCAAATCTATGAAAAAAAAGAAACAAATAGAAAATGAACTATTTTTCTTAAAACAACATTAATCACAAAAGGTTAGAGAAATTTTCTTTCATTTGCATAAAAGTTATTTTGTACACATGAAAAAGATTGTCTTGTAAACCTACAAAGATTAGTTCCCTCCTCACGTACACATACTCTCTCTCATAAACATATTCAGATACATACATAAAAAATAAATGTAAGATGTAAGCTTGAAAGGAATCCATAAGCACTTAATCATGGGATATATTGCAGTTCCAAGACTTATTGTCATAGCAACACCTAGAAAGAAATTAAGACTTTTTCTTCCATTGACCACACTGCTAGGATAATTGTAAAATGCATCAAAAGCTTTTATTTCTTACACTTAATGTAAATATTTCCTGAAAATGTTTTCTCATTGCTTGGTTGAAATATGACTAGAGATACTGAATATACATCCATTTTTAGAGATGGTGAAATTTCGGTCTCTTTGTTATTACTTGTCTATTTATTTATTTTTCTGTCATGAAACTGGAAATCGGCCATGTTTGACAGAAGATCACCACTAAGTTAATGGGAACTCACTGATAGTGTGAACACATTCCAAGGAATTGTCTATCATTTTAATCATATACTGATTGTTGATTGGCTTATGTGATGATTTTCAAGAAAGATATTGATTCCATGGCACTGTATGTCTGCCACATTCAGTTTATCCACTGACTTTGATTTGGCTTAATTTCACAACTCATTATATTAAGACACTTTGCTGGTAATAAAATAGGTCAACCTGAATATTATGCAATAAGCTTTCTTTCAGGAATCAATTATGGTCTTATACAGTTCACAATTAAAAGCTGAATTACCAATTTCAATGCTCTCTGGTGCTGGCTTTATACATCTTTGGAGGTATTACCAAAAATGCTTAATTTCAAAATATGACAGTCACTTACACCTGGAGTATGAGGCATTGTGAAGTAATCATGTCATTATTTCTCTTGCATTTTAAAACTTGGATAATTGTCAATGAATATATCTTTCTTTAATAACTATCAAATTGATAAAATACAAATATATATATAAATATATATATATGATAAAAAATATAGTTTTAACAATGTTATAAATTTATGGGTTAAAGTAATGTAAATAAAAGTGGACAATGAAATATTACTACAAAATGACAGTCTGTTTCATGCTTAAAGCAACCTTTAGGTCATGTTTGAAGAGTGTGTTTAAGCATGAAACAGACTGTCATCCACTAAAATTGACTTTTCCAGATCTCTCTCATATATATATATATATAAAATATATATATATATATATATATATATATATATATAAATATATAGTTGATGAACAAATAACTTTTCCAAGTTATGAATAATCCTTCTCAGACAAGGAGGAAATTCTGTTAGAAAGTTCATATCCATCCATGTGCTTTCCTTGCATGTCTGATCTCTTGATAATGACCTTAGAAGCTTAATCTTTTGGACTATGTTTCCTGCATACTCTTCCATAAACAAGTTGAAATTCCCAATGGAATTTTGTCCTTTCTGAATGGATTATTCATAACTTGGAAAAGTTGATCATTAAAAAATTGATGTTATAACACTCATTGGTTCAACAACTTTACATTCAAAAATGTGCTCTACACTCTTTAATTATATATATATATATATATATATATATAACTTTAAGAAACTTTTGAAACAAATGCCAAAAATTTGTTTGCCATAATCATGCTAATGGAGGATATTTTGACAAAAACAAAATTTAATCATAAACATCCTATCAAAAAATAATCATTTCTCATTTTTTTATCATCTACAATATAATAATTTTGATTTAAAGTTAATTAAATTATGAATAATTCAACATTGCTAACCAGATGCTTCCTCTGTAGCTAAATGCTATTGCACGTCAGGCTATATGACAGGTCTGTGTAGGATACAGGTTAAATTCCTGTTGGAGGACTCATATTTTCTATGAAATTTCTTGGACATTCAGGATAAAATGTTGTTAATACTGTTTATTATAAATAGAATTTACTTAAATATTTGTATCTATAAAAATAATGTATAAAAAATAAAATATTAAAATAAAAATCAGACTTAGTCCATTTCATAATATACTTATTTAAATTACAAATACTTTTTTCAATTTAGAAAAATGTCTATAATTGTGTAACAGACACACCACATATATTTATATATATATATATATATATATATTTCACGTTTCATTAAATAATTCAAGCGTTGTCTATTTATTTTATATATTAAATAATATAAGTCATGAGATGCGGTGCAATTCTCGCTTCTAGCGTCTTATATGCGCGTGTTTAACAGCTTAGAGATTATCTATGTAAACAATGACAGACTATCATCACTGTCGTGTCCGTATATTGTTTAATATGTTTGTAATTTACATCTTTGATAATGGCTTAAGTAAGCCTAAAGGTTAGATTATATTAAAAAAAATATAGATCAATATTGTGAATTTCTTTCTTCGTTTAATGATAATGTTATCAAACTTATCAGATGTTATGAACAAAATTTACATAAAATAAATAGACAACACTTGTCTATATTATTTAATGAAACGTGTATAAATGAAAATATGCTGCCTAAAAATACAAATATATATATATATATATATATATATATATATATATATCTCACTCACTTACACTGATGAAAAATTATAACAATCCCATTATGTGTTTCAATTTAATAAAATTTAATCGTACAGGTAGTGTAATTTGAGAAAAGGATCACATTTACAGATCAATATTTGAACAAGTTCAAAAAAAGCTGATATATCAATACACTGTCCATCCTTCTTGGGTATTAACAGACACTTTGTACTTTTGAATGGATATGATTGTACAGATGACAAATACCATCTATGCCTGTAAAAATTGTTGTTGTGGGTGGGTGGGTAACTAAAGGAGTACATTTTTAGCTGACATTAGTATTGTTTAATGAACGTCAAAGATATATGTGTGTGTGTGTGTGTGTGTGTGTGTGTGTGTGTGTGTATATATATTTATACATATAATTTCTGTCATAATTATATAGGTATATACAAACATGCATATTTATAAGATTATGCACACACACACACACACCCATATTGAAAAATGTATGTACACACACACATGTATATTTATCAAGGTATACACATACATGTATATTTATCAAGGCATACACATACATGTATATTTATCACACACACACACATGTATTGATAAAGGTATACACACACACATGTATATTTATCAAGGTATATACACAAGCACATAATTATTAAGGCACACATATTGATAAAGATATACACATGCACATTTTTCGAAAATAAAAATTTTACCAGTTACTAGCATGCTACTATTTAACTAATTTCTGGGAGGAGGAGATGAATTCCTCCTCCTTCCCAAGGAATTTGTAAATGTAATGAACCTAACTGGAATTCAACCTCGGCTCTCTAATTTTGTTGTTCCCAGCAGCTATCTACTCAACCACCCACACATCCCCAGATAATCATGAAAACAACACACAATCCAAATCCTTTGTTAGTAATAAACAACATCTTTGCCTTCACATAAGGAATCTGGATAATAAGCTGAGAAAACTGAATTATAAAGCTAGTCAGGAATAATTCATTTTTGTCATTGAAATCAAATTCTATTATTTGATGGCTGTCATCAGAGACTTTGTCATTGTAAATTGTTTTGATTCTCAAATGGAAAAGGCATGTTTTTCTTTTTAGTGATCCTTGGCTATGGGGACTGGATTTTGCATGTTGTCAGCAACAGATTCAACCAGATTATTGAATTTGAATATTGAAATCCAAATTCCATACACCAAGATCATCATACCTCAAGAATTCTTCTGAGACACGGATCCAAATAAAACCTGATGCAACCTCTACAAACATCTACAAACATCTCTACACCTGTTTTCTTGCAAACAAGTAGATATGTATAAAATGATCCATGTTTTGAATTCTATTTTATCTGGGGTATTTTGCTAAAATCCATGGATTCTGCTAACTTACAATTGATCAGATTTTAAGATGTTAGTCAATATTTTCCCCAAAATTTATTAGTAATCAATCATGACATATGAATAGATTTATAAAAAATAGATTTACGTGACAGATATACTTGCATTTACATGAGAGATATGCTTAGATTTACATGATAGATATACTATGTAATCTTCAGCTGTTTGCATGAGAAATCATCAAGATTGCCAAAAGATAGAAACTTAAAAGGGGAAAAAAGACACTGTAAAGTTACTGAAAGATGTAAAAATAATGGTGGAAATTATAACAAAGCTGAATGGAAAACAGTGAAAAAAATTCCCTCCTCAAAAAAACAAAGTTAATATTGACATGTATAACAAAAAATGGCCTTAATAATATAACAAAAAGAGATCTGAGAAAATTTAAAAAGGAAAAAAACTGAACTGACGAGCATGAAAATATTTGAAGTTTGTGTTATGAATGTAAACAGAGAGAAAAGATGCAAAATATTAAGAAAATTTGGCTGAAGGCATGAAAACTGTCAAATCTTAGGTAAACATTAGAAATATTTATGTTAGGCAAAGTAGTATAAGAAAACTGATTTAGTAATTTTAGTAATGAATGTAGAATTACATTGGATGGATTTTATAGATGAATGATAGTTTGGGTCCTTTAGGCAAATATTTTTTTATCATTTCACCTCAAGCAAGGCAATAAAGCCACTAAGATGCAAGAGGTTACTGAGTGTGAGAGAATATGAAAGAAATAAAATATCTATTAAGTAGAGAGAACAATAAAAGAACAGGAATTAAGACAGAAGATAACAATTGACATTGCATTTAAATTTTTGAAAATAAAAGTTGTCTGGAAAGCAAGAAGCCAGAATAGAGTTCCAAAAGCAACATATGTAATAGAAGAAACTGCTAGCATAGAACTTACGGTTATATCTAGCCATTTCAACTGTAAAATTATGAGACCTATCTGCCAATCTAGTGCTGCACTTAGTCAAGGTACAAAGAGGAAAATTCATTAGAATAATTACCATGAAATTATTTATAGAAAAGACACAGGGAAGCTATCAGGTCATCCCATAAGTTCTGTCCGAATTTTGAATAAAGAAAACAAGTGACCAAATGTTACATTTAATTACAGATTCAATCAACAATGTATTTTCCCTGATTATCTATGACTTCCTTCCATCTATTAACAAGCTTACTAATTCCATTACTGTAAAATTCTTTTGGCTTTGATTTGAAGAACTCACAAATGTCAGTTTTAACCTGTGTTACAAAAGCTGTTTCTTCCAAATGATTCTGTAAGCCACAAAACAAATGGTAGTCTGAAGGAGCAAGATTGGGAGAATAAGGTGGATGAGAAATTTTCTCCCAACCAAGTTCTTTGATCTTTTGTGACGTGATTCTTGCTGTGTGGGGTCGCACATTGTCCTGATGAAACATCACCTCTTTTCGATTCACTAGAGCAGGTCTTTTTTCCTCAAAGCTTGGTTCAAACACTCTAATTGCTGACAGTATATTTGAGCATTAATTGTTGCATTAGGTGGTAAAAATTCAAAGTGGATTTTTCCTTGGCAATCCCACCAGATTGAAAGAAGAACCTTTTGCCTATGAAGTTCCCTTCTCGGCTGGGGTCCTTCCCCTTTACCAAGCCACTGTCTACGATGCTTAACACTTCGATAAAAGATCCATTTTTCGTCGCCAGTCACAAGTCTATCCAAAAAAGGTGAAACAAGTTGGCAAGAATGGAGAGAAAAGCAGATGTCAACTCGGGACTTGAGGTTGTTTTCAGACAATTCATGAGGCACCCATTTTCCAAGTTTAGGAACTTTTCCAAGTTGTTGAAAATGACGATGAACAGTTGTATGGTTTGAACTGAGAACCACTACCAATTCCTCAACTGATAAAGCAGGATTTTCTTCAAGGGCTGCTTCAAGAAGCTTTTCATCAAACTCAACTGGACATCCAGTTCGATCTCCATCTTCAAGGGTGAAATCTCCACCTCTGAATTTTGCAAACCATCTTCTGCAAGTTCTTTCATTCACACATTCCTCTCCATAAACTGAGTGAATGTTTCTAGCCACTTCGGCTGCTGAGTTTCCTTTCTTGAACTCATAAAGCATTTTGTGCCTCAAATGATTCTTGGGTACTTCCATGTTAGCAGGGTTTTAATCAAACAAAATTTAATTTTATTGTTCTCTGAAATAAAATTTGATCAGTTTAAATGCATCTAAACATAAAAATAATGTTCAGCTCCATTAGACATTATAAAATACTCTTTAAATTTTGTTCATTTTAACAAAAAGTTAAAATTGGACAGAACTTATGGGATGACCTGATACATTACAGTGGTGGGAAAATGATAGAAGCCATGATGCCAAGTCAGAATCAATAATATTGTAGATTCTTCTTTGCATTTTATCAAGAATCTCTAAATACATAGCAGAAGCACCAGACCAAATGTGAGAACAAGGATGAATGGTAGACTTATAAATTTGTAAAATAGTTCCTGGTGAGAAAAAATTGTCTAGCACAACACAGTGAACCAACTTTTGTCTTTGCAAAGAATTTGTAAAAGAAAAGAAAAAATTGTTTATGTAATTTCAAATGATCAGAATGAAATTTTGTTGGCATTGAAAACTGCTTTAAATATGATTTCAAATCACACTGTTTTTTCAAAATAAAAAGAGACATCCGAACAATGAAAAAGTATGTCTTCTTTTATGTTCAAACTTTTTTCAACAACTTTTCTTACTTACCCGTGCATAGTTGAGAAAGAATAATTGTTCATGTGTCAGGTTGATGCCTGGGAGTGGCAGCTCTGGTCCATTATCCTTTACCCATTGGTTGTAAGCCTACAAAAAGAGTTCAAAGGTAAGTGCACACTTCAGGAACCACTGTACCTGACAAGTAACATCTAGCTCAAAATTATTAAGAGACACAAATTAACCTTATTTACAAAAATGGTATTTAGAATTACATTATTAGATAAGCTTAGGTCCAAGATGTGTGATAAAAAAAATATTTAATGGCAATGTCTAGATTTCTGGGATGACGCGCTATCATTATTTATATTTGAACTAATGTCCTCATCTTTTTTGTTATTATCACTATAATACAGCAACAAGTTGAAGCTTATGAAGCTTTATTTGACTACTTCAGCTTTAGCACTGAAAATGTTTATTTTATTATAGGTTTGGATTGGTTTATTTTGTTTTATGCATATGAACCTCAAAGGTTTATTTAATGAAAACAAGATTTTTTGGCTAGGTCTGTATAAATAGAATATATATTCTTTTAAGAAATCATTTTATATATCAGGTTTCACTGATGTATTTTTGTAAAATAGATTTTTGTCTAGAATCAAATGTATTGCAGGTAATAATTATTCCTACAAAAATTGGTTGCAAAACCAATGTAGGTAAGCAGATTTGGTAAAGAGTATTTTTTGTTTTCCTATAGAGCCCAATTTGTTTAATGAATTTTTTTTTTTTTTTTTGATCAGTATATTCAAATAGGTCCTTTAAGTTATCTGATTTGTAGAGTTTGTTTCAGGTTTGTTGGAAGTTATAGCATTTTATTAGTATGCATTTAACTGTATATAGTTCCTGACATGGGACACATACTGGCAGTTCCTCATTTTTTTAGTAGATGTTGGTGGGTTATATATGTGTGTTCCATATGGAGTTTGGCTAGTACCACCTCCTCTCTCCTTTTCTGTCAGTAACTTGACTGTCTTTCACTAATGATTGGTTGAATGTTGAGTAGTTTTTTGTTTAGACAGTTGTTCCATAATTGCTGCCATTTTTCTTTAAATAGTCCTGTTTATGGTGGATCGAAAATCGGTGTGTGGAACCTTTACATTTGAGAGGGCCATGTTCAGCAATTCCTTTGCCATTTTGTCGGCTTTTCCATTTCCTTGTATACCAATATGGCTCAGTAATAGGACTATTACAGCATCTTTTTCCTTATAGTATCAATCCTATTTAATAATTTATTTAATAAGGGGTATCAGAGCTGTGAGTACAGATAGTGAATCTGAGAAGATGATGAATCTATCTGACTCACTAGATTCTATAATATCTAAAGCCAAGTGTATGACTGAGGCTTCTGCACTGAAGATTGAGGCATTGTCAGGCAATCTTTTCTGCATTATATTGCTAAGTATAGCAGAGCATCCAAATCTCTCCAACATTTTAGAGCCATCAGTTTATATATGCTTATGATTTGGGTGAGCTTGTAGAACATTTGGATTTCTTCCATGTAAGCAGATAGTTTAGTATTAAATTTAGGATATTTAGTAAGGTTTAGCAGTATCATAGGGTGTTTCATCAACTAGGGCGTTTTTTTTTTTTTTTTGAGATGGTGGTTTTATGAATTAGTGTTGGATTTAGTTGAGGTTTGCTGATGAGAGTCTTTATGTAAAGGCCGAAAGGTTTGATAGCATTTTCTTTTTTACCAAATAGGTTTTTGCATTTAGTGTTGAAGTTACAGCGATAGGCAGGGTTAGCTGGGCAGGATTTAACTTTTACTTAATATTATAGTGCTAGTTTTTCTAATCTCAATTTTAATGGTGCCTCATGGGGCTTTGGCATATAAACTTTCTATGAGTGATGCTTTAAAGGCACCCAAAGCCAGTGTCATTCCTGCATGGTGAATGGGATCAAGAGTTTTTAGATAGGATTTCTGGGTTAACCCAGATATGAAACATCCGTAGTTCAATTTGGTTCTTATTAGAGTTCTATATAATTTCAGGAACAATATTCAATCTGCTCTCCATTCAGTGTTAGCCATGACCTGTAGTAATTGTAATTCTTTGAATCATTTCTGTTTTATGTATTTTAAGTGGAGGATGAAAGTAAATTTTTTGTCAAAAATGATTCCCAGAAATTTATGTTGGTCAGTCATTTCAATTTTGGTTCCTTCAAATCTAAGAGTTGGATCATTGTGCATTTCTTCAGATTGCAGAAATGGATGCACTTTGTTTTGGGTGGAGAGAATTTGAAACCATTTTCAATAATCCATCGGTTTAATTTATTTAGACACACTTGCAGTCATCATTCTGCAGTGTGCATATTTTTTAATATGCTACAGACCAAAAGGTCATCTATGTTTTTATGTCCTTATGCAGCCCAAAACCTCTAACCTCACACATTTTATACTTAGCAATCCACCTCTCTAATAATGTAATACATTATTTCCGCCCTCTTTTTTTCAATCTGTAATAGCAGTTGCTGACTACAAAAACAATTAGGTCAGACAGACTGACCCCAGCAACAGATCCAAATGGAAGCTACAAATAGATTCTTGCACACATGTGCAATCACATGACCAAGTACAAATGTTGAGCAGGAAATATTAGAAGAAACCAGTTGGGGCAATGAAGCTCAAGGGAGCCAGACCAGCCATAAAACCATCATGCAACTGGACTTACAGAACTGAAGAGAAGGAATACCATACCCAACTCACACAGCAAAATCAATTGGAAACCAAGTCTGGTGTGGGTAACATTTCTTTTTTACTTGCTACCATCAAGCAAAGGAAATCACACAAATTCCAATTCAACTCAACAAACTATGCTGCTTACATCAAATGCATAGGTGAAGTGCTAAGAATGACAATCCCCTAAGACAAGCATGTGTGCCCAACTGAAATGGATGAAGGATCCGAATAATAAATTCTACATTAATATACAACTTATATAGCACTGAATCTTCCTATTCAAATAACAAATTCTACATTGCCAAATATAAGAAGTGTGAAAAACATCAACTTTCGGGGTGAAAACTCATAACAATGAAGAAAGAAGAATAGATCAAAAAATACTGTTGCTCAAGTGAATGAACTAAACTGAAAGTAAAAAGAACAAAAAGAAATATAAAACAGGACAAAGAGTGAGAAATGGGAAAAGAGAAAAGCTTATTTTATTCCAGGCAAAAGACTGAAGCTAAGTGACTGTTTGAAACTTCTATCTGACAAAAAGTTATTTATCAAATTGAGTAATCTTCCCTTTGTATAAGTCTTTCATTATTCCATGTCATTTCATGGGTTATTTTTCTAGATCAAAGAAAATGACTATTGCATGTTCTTTTTTAATAAAAGCCTCTCTAATGAATGTTTCTAGGCAGACTATTCTTTCACTATTCTTTCTAGGGTTTTGCATATACAACTTGTTAATATTATGAGTTGGAAGTTTTTGGGGTCTGATTTGTCTTCATCTGGTTTTGGTATAGGAATTATGGTAACTTGTTTTCAACTATTTGGGAGTTTACCCTTAAACCATATCTCATTAAAGATGTTTAACAGAAATTTTAAGTATTGGGGGGGGGGTTGTTTAAGAAATTCATAATGAATTTCATCTGGGCCAGTAGCTGTATGATGTGATTCCCTAATGGCATTTATAAATTCATTTAGGGTAAAAGGTTGGTTATAATCTTCTCTGTCATTCAAGTTAAAGTTCAACATTTTCTTTTTTCTGTATCTTGCTTAACTTTTTGGAATTGCTGTTTGTAGTTTTCACTAAAGGAATTTTGTTTAAAGGTTTCTGTGAGTAGATTTTCTATATACTTTTTGCTTGTTATTTTTATGTTATTTTGAGAAAGGTGATTTAGTGGAGGTGATAGATTTTTTGCCAGCAATTTTTTCCTTATTATATTCCAGATTTTTTTGGTTTGGTATGAGAGTTTATTTTATTTATGTAATCTCTCCATGATTTTGTTTTAGCTTCATGGTCCATGGCCTTTAATATTTATTTGATTTACTACTTTTTGGTATGCATTTTCTCACAATTGTTATTGTTACTGGAAGCTAGTTTTCAAAGAGTGATAGACCAGATAATAACAAAAGTGAACCTGGAAGGCACTTATGCTTACATCATACTTATTATAAAAGCCAGGTTGTGTGTGTGTGTGTGTGTCTGTACGTTTATATATTGGATCAGATTTCCTACATTTTTCAACCAATTTCAACAAAACTTCACAGGAGTACATAAAATTACCTTGCGGTGGTTCTGACAGCACCAAAAATTAGAAAAACACAATTATTTTTGCACAAAATCAATTTGAAAACACGATTAAGAGACATCACGAGAATGAAAGGGGGACAACTTATATCAAGTTATACTTATTATAAAACCCAGGTTGTTTGTGTGTGTGTGTGTGTGTGTGTGTGTGTGTGTGTGTGTTCATTTATATCTGGGATCAGATTTCCTACATTTTTCAACCGATTTCAACAAAACTTCACTTTTTTTTGGCAGGTAGTGTTTCTTATTGTCTTGCACACTTTTTTCTTTATTTTTACATTTAGAATGCTTTAAAAATTCCATTTACAAGACAATTGTTTATAATAAAATTCTATTCAATCAGTAGACTCATAACGATTGAAAACAATGTTTTTGTTTGAGTTTGACCAATTCATAAAAAAAAAAAAAAAAACTAATTAAGACATGTGTGTCCGTCAACCTTAAACAATAATCTTTGTCAATTTTATTTTTCAGTCTTTATGATGGTTGATACTTGATTTATCTCTTACTGTTACATCCCCGGGCAACACCGGGCTCTACTGCTAGTTGATAATATAATTATTGATGAGGAAAAAAATATAGCGAAACATGGCCAAAATCTTAAATTATTCATGGCATCTGTTAAAAAGTACAAACTTATGCTTAACTAAGACAAATGTTATTTTAGATGTAAAAATATAAAATTATTCAGGTAAAATTATATATAAAAACAACCTTAAACCCAATCCAGAAAATGCAGCAGTGGATGTTCTCTCTTGTGTATATAGCCCAACTGCTTGTAAAGAAGAGTAGATTAAATTGTAATAGAATAGTTCTAGACAATATGCATCATATATGAGTAAAGCTTTAATAAACTCTGCATATCAGCAGAGTTCTCTTATATATATATATATATATATGTTTCAGGACAGATCCATTAATGGAGGAGATGGATCATACCACAGTTTTGTTGAATGTCAAAATGTATGTGTTTGTGTTTATTAATGTGCCATTTCTTTTTATTTGTATTCTTTTGACATCTCTTACTCCTCCTTTTTTTTTTTTTTTTTAATTTCTTCCAGTGAGCAGAGTGACAGTTCAGGGCATTTAATTACTCCCTTAGATGAATTAAGAAATTAGTGAAGGTAAGCCTTTACTTTCATGTCATTTATTTGATTGATTTTTAATATGTCTTCTTTTTTGGTTTTTATTTGAATTAGAAGTGTATTGTTTTTCTTTATTTTTTTTTTTTTACTGATTTTGATTCTGGCTGACATAACCTTTTCTAACACAAAAGGTGAGACTTTTGTTATTTCACCCTCTAATGATTCTATGACTAGAAAAATTGGAAATTATTTTTTTTTCCTGATATTTTATTGTCATTTTTTGTTTCAGAGTTTTCATAGTGTCTCTTGGATTGTTTATAAGAGTTAGTCATATAATTTTGTTTTTGTGTTTGCTGTCTGTGCTCCCCACGCACCTTGAAGATCCTTCTTAAGGGACTCTATCAGTGGGGACTAATCCCATTCATCCTGATCTGCCAAAGATATACAGATGGTATAGTTGTGCCAAAAGTGGCTGTAAGCACCAAGATTCCCCCACAATATCTGCCCAAGTATAGTAAGGTGTAAGGATTAATAGCCATGTCATAGGCATTCTCTTTCATCCCAACTAGACCTTGCTACTATGTGACTAGCTGATTGAATTGTGCTAATTGTTATAGACAAGCATATGGTTGCATGAAAGAAATACAACAACAGTAGAAATAGATTTACGTGATTTATTTCAATAAGAACATGTGGTTTTGGGACAGCTACCTTGTGGTATAGTTCATAGGCTGGCTGAAGATCTGGGTTGATCTCTCATAGTTCTTGCTGGTTGGCATGGCGCTACTGCTGCTGCTGCTGCTGACCGCTCAGCCTGACCATGACAGGTCTCTTCGTTGGCCTACTGTTGACTGGCGTTGTACTTCTGTGTGACCCCATTTATGATGTTTTTTTTTTATGGCTTAACAGGCTCGAAAAACGACGCGAGTATAATTAGGAGGGAAGCATTTTTATTGGTCGAAAAATAGAAACACTTTAAAATATTATTTTATTTTTCAACCGGAACTCATGCTTCGGGAACATGCGTAAATGAAGATAATGGTCATTTTGTGACAGGGCCTTGTCCCGTTCACATCCGGCTCTCGCTCTTGAGTATGTTAGTTTATTTGCCTGTAAATCAGCCGAGATATGTCTTATTTTATTTTATAACATAATCCATCCACCTGTCTATCCTAGGTAGGGGCTAAAGTGGCATGTTGTGGAAACTCCTGGACATTTTATACCAGGTAAGTAGTCACTTAGTCACCAAAATTTTGTCCCCGGGCATCATGGGTTGCCACCCATGGCAAATAGGTGGCCCCATTGAAGGGAATTTGTAGTTTTTGGGAATCAGTTTTAATAAATATGTTTTATATACTGCAATTTTATAGATATTTTTTCCAATTTTTTTATCTATAAACTCTCTCAGCTACTGAATAATTACACTATATTATTACATTATATGCTTGGAATTTCAATACACAGTATAACACTTTTCTGCTGGTCAGTGTTTGGTCAAATGCTGCCACTGGACATTAAGTTGGTCACTCAGGTCTAAAACGTTGTTCTGCTCACATTTTGTTGATTGATCACAGAGCTGGCAAAGATTGTCATCAGCAACTGCAGTGTTTGTTCCATCATAGCAAAGCTATGTCACAAAGGAAATTAAAAAAAAAAATGTTCTTGCAGACAAATAAAGAAAAGACATGAATTTCTTCAATGTCTATTTCTATGTAATTTTATATCATTCTTTATTACAATAATATTGTTTTTTGGTATGGAAATATTAATTCTTCCCACTTTGAATCCTATCGGGACACTTTGCTTAATTTTACTAAGTCTGGAACAAGGCTTGAGTCGAATGTTCTCGCTGGCAATAAGTCAAATGGCATTTGGCAGAGCAATCACCTCTCATCTGTCGTCAGGAACTACTGTCTCCAGAACTTCTCATCTGGTCATTTCAGTATCCTGCTTATACTGGCTTCCACCCAAAACTGGCATGGGGGTCAACATGGTTGATGTTTCCCCTATCTTACAATAAGAGCCTCTCTGTTGTCTGGCTCTGGATAATTAATTATTCCTCCAAATTTGGAGAGATCCCTTTTCCGATGGGTAGCTATCACAGGATATTGATCAGCCCACCTCCTTCCTTCTCTTATTTGTGTGTCACATTAACACTTCCCAATGGGCATAGGCAATTACTCCATCCCTGTTGGTATTTCATGTGTGTGCCTATCACCTTGATTGTCCTTTGCTCATGGTCATTAATTAAAATTATTATTTCAATTTCTCATCCATAAGGTTTCACATCCTAACCTTGCTCAGAAAATCAAAAAAATTACCAGCTGCTTCCTCTGGTTATACACCCGACCATCTCACCACGGTCAATGCACTCCAGGCACCCTGGGTTTGGGTTTTTATATAAGTTTTCATTACAGTTTCTTGATCCTGCCCTGTCTTTAAAAATTGACAAATTTCTATTGCCCAATTTGTGTTTTCATAACTAGCACCCTTTAAGCAGTGTCGTCAATCAGCTGTCAGCCAACATCATCACATGGCCTCTTTGGTGATTTCTTGTAACAGAATCATTTTTCTTCAAAGTATCTCTGCCCTAAAAAGAAATAGACTTTGGAAATAAAATGAAATCTCTTTTCCTTCTCTCAGTCTACCCATCATTCTATTCTTTAACCCATCTCGTCTTGTTCCAAAGGATATTTTTAATTTAACCCCCCTTTCTTTCCATTTGCCAATGTCACAACAGTGTTAACACCCATCACATAATCAACTAGAGGCATTATAAATATACTTTTTTTGCATTGATTAAAAAACATAGACTGTATTTTGCTTGTCTTTTGGTTAATCAAATATGAGAAATGTGAGAAAAATGATTTACAAGGGTTTAGCTCAGGTACAGCAAAGGTTACCAAGAGTTATAAGCAGGGGTATAAGTTACTACCTAACTTGGTACATAAATTGAACTCTAGAGATTTTAACTGAACACCAATGCGTCAACAAGAATAAACATAATTTACATTATCTTTCTGATTCACTCTACATATCAGTTCAAATGTGAACACTAGCAAAGCAAAACCCAAAATAAAAAAGGCATCCTCTGTGTAGGGGCTCTGAGTATCACTTCCTAAAAAAACAAATTGCCTTGAAAATATAAAATAGCAACATATCACAAATGTTGCCACCAGAGAAAAAAAACATGAACAAAAGATTAGCTTAGGCGCTTTTACAATTTGCTTTTAAGAAAACCACTCAAAAACAACTAGGGCAGAATAACTGCCAACACCAGTAAAGGACTTTGGTCAACCAAACTGACATATTCACTCAAGACCCACTTTCCTCCAAATTGTCACACCTTGCCCACATAGAGAAATTCCACTCACATTCTCTGTATCAGCAAAATCAGAATCATGGCAAATGAGTTAGTTGTCAATGCCTTTCACGCTCTCAGCATTACCACCTGTGACATTTGTCAACTGATCTGCCAAACATATCAACTCCAGACCTTACCAGCACTAGCTTTCTTTCAAAAGCTGCCTCGCTTTCCCACTTTACAGACATTTTGCTCACATTCTCTGTATCAGCAATACAAATAATTTTATATTAACAATTTTTGTCTTCTTTCCTTTTGCCTCACTGGCAGTACTTGTTGTTTTGTTTTTTCTTTTGTACTACCATACATGTATCTATACATGTATTTATAACATTCACAATAACAAGTTCAAGTATTACCCCTTTGATTTTTGCATATTTTCACAGAAAATAGAAATTTAGAAATGTCATAAATAAATACATTAGAGTGTCATAATCAAATCAATTATTTCTTAGCAAAAGCGACCTGTAATAAAATAAATTTATAAAATAATGAAATTAAAAAGATGAGCAATAAATTTTCATACACAATATTTGTTTGGAATAGGAATATATAAACATTAATATTCATAGCCAACTTTCATATTTTTTTAATAAATACATCTGGTGCAAATAGACAAAATATTCAAACATGGAAAAAGCAATCACTCAAAATATTATTGCAAATTCAATAATAAACAGTACAGTTCTACAAATAAGGTTGGCGTTCTTTGAAATTGTCATTTTTATGTGTCTAATTATAAGTGGGTGAATGCAACAAAATAATTAAAGTTTTTATGTCTTATAAAAAACATATTACAGATGAGAGATTTAGGTATTCACTAATGAGTATAAAAAAATCTTACCCAATGAGCTTGTTTCAAGCCGCCATTATCAGCGATGTTTTCACCCAAAGTGTTTTTTCCTTTGATCTATAAAATAGAGACAAAAAAGTAAGCCTTGCAAATAAATTGAAAATTCATATATTTTAACAAAGGTGCATATTTAACTATGTCGGTGACCCAGTTGGTATTAATCAGTATATATCCTACATATCCTCATAATATGCAACCCTTGTTCACTCTGTTACAACATCTTCATTTAGTAACCTTGAGTTAATCTTGGGCCTTAACAAAAGTAAAAGAAAAATACTCAGCATGGATCACAAATGAAGAATCCACTTCAATCAAGATTTGAATTTGTCTTCAGAATCAATCAGTCTGAGACAGCACATTATTGATTAAGCCATGAAAGCTTAACCAACAGCCGTCAATCAAATTTGCTATTTTTGTTTATTCCCTACACAATTTTTTTCATTTAAATTAATATTAGTAACAATACCACATCTAAAATAATTCAGACAATAAAATTCAACAGGAAATTAGCACTTGATCAATAAGAACCTAAAACCTGACCCCAAAAGAATATTAATGGAAATTAGTTTTCTGAGTAAAATTCTACAAAAAACAAGAATCATATGCAAGAAAAATACTTTTTGTTTGAAATTAACTGGGAGTTCTTAATCTAAAATTTTAGTTGTTATTTTTCTTGATATATTAATAGCAGCATCAGCTCTACTATTTCCAGTCTCTTATATATAACAGCTGCTTGTCATTGCTTTCTAGTGTAAATGTCCTATACATATCTCCAGAAACATATTTAACCTTTACCCTCACTGAAATAAAATACTTGTTTTTATCAGCCTGTCTCAGTGATTGACCCCCAAGTTGAAGGCAAGAAAGTAATTTCAGTTTGAAATGTAAGAAATCTATTTATGATGATAATTTAACAAGAAAAACTCAATCTTGATCAATAGATAGATTTGATTGGATAACTGATCTTCTGACGTCGAGTTGAATGCTTTGACCATTGAGCTCAGAATCAGAAAAAAAAGAAGGTTTGAAAACGAGTTTTCTTTGATTTTTACTTACATGTAAACCAATTTGTTCCAGAATGTAACTTGAGTACTGAGTGACCATACACATTGCCTGTTTATTAAACGCATCTATTGTCTCATTTTTCCACCATTGTTTTAAATTGCCATCCTTGTCATATTGCCTTCCTGTAAGAAAATCAAACGGAAGATGAAAAACACATCAGTTTAGTGAGTGGCAAGAAAACACTTTGGAAATTCTTAGCTGCTATTCTTGAAATTTAATCCAGACTTTACCATTAAAACAGCAGGAAAGTCGTTTCAAAAAGGCTGAATCGATTTTAGTAGAATTTCTACAAGAGATAATGTTTATTATAAGAGCTTCAAATCAGGCTTTAAGTTGACTTTCTTGTATTTATTTATGACAGTTGCGATGATAGTATTTAATTGGTATTTTTAACTGCATCCTTTTATTAAACAAAACCAAAAAAAATCAAACAAAATATAAGATGATTCAAAAGAAACCAGAAGAGAAAAATTTCTTTCTGCAGAATTCTGAACATTTAAGAAAATCAAACAAATCTTTTATTCACCAAACTGCACATAATACAAATGCTCAAACTGAAATTGGGACATGAAATAAAGGCAATAAAGTCACTAAAACACAAGAGTTTACTGAGTGTGAAAGAATAAGAACATTATTAAGGAGTGAGAACAATAAAAGAAAAGGAATCAGGACAACAGTAGATAACAACTGACATTGCATTTAAATTTCTGAAGATCAAACTTTACTGGAAAGGAAGAAGTTAGAAGAGAGTTCCACAAGCAAGAAGTACAAGAAAAAAAGTATCTGTTAGCATAGACTTTGTGCTTGCATCTTGCCATTTCAAGAGTAAAATGATGAGACCATGCCACCAATTTAGTACTGTGCTTAAATTCATTAAGTCTAGGTATCACAGAGCAAAGTTCATCAGAATAATTAACACAAAAGTATTAAAAGAAAAGGTACAGGAAAGCTACATTATGGTGGTGGGAAAATGACTGAAGCTTGGATGCCAGGTCAGAACCAATAATACTGCAGATGATTCTTTGGATTTTTTCAACACTCTCTAAATATATAGCAGGAGCACCAAACCATATGTAGCAGCAATATTCAAAGCATGGAGGAATGGTAGATTTATAAATATGCAAGATAGTTTCTGGCAAGAAAAATTGTTTAGCATGACAGAACCAACTTTTCTGGCAGCAGACTTAGCAATTGATTCAATATAATCTTTCCACTTCATCTTAGATGAAAGTGTTAAGTCAAGTAGGTACAACGAGTAACTCTCCTGGAGGTTAGCATCAGCCATGATGGTGGAAAGTAGAAAGAGATTTTTCAGATGATTTATACAAAGCAGTTTTTGAGGTGTTAAAATTAACAAGCAAGGAAGTTCCAGTTAACAGCATATTTTAGGTCACTTTTGAGATCAGCTGCTAATTTGTCCTTATCAAACCAAAAATAAAAAGTGTAAAGCACCTGTATTTTTCAGATAGAAATCCAGAAAACACAGACACACACCCCTACCTCTCTTAACTTTTTTTTGTCAATGATTTCGGATTTTATGTAAATTGGTAATGAATGGAATTTTTTTCAATGAATAAATTAGTCAGATAATTTGAAATTATAGCCAATTAGATTTTTTTACTATTTTGTAAGAAGGTTGCTTAAGATGATTTTGGTCAGTTGGAGAGTTTAAATACAAAAGAACCCTTGCAGATTGTTCATTTTGGATTGAAAAGAAAAAAAAGGGCAGATAACTCATCACCTATGCAGGATAAAAGCCTCTGTAGAAATTACATAACATCCCAATCTCATAAAAGTCTACATGACATTGTGGGGTCACTCACATCTAAAAAGCAGGGAAAGCCTTGTGTTCACAAGAATAAAAACATGCAAAGAAATAAAACTAAAAGCATGTTAAATTGTAAATTAAAATCACACAGTTTTATTTATTTCTATGTGTGCGTATTTTAGTTACATGTTATTGATTTCCCAAGTTAGGGCGAATGACTGCAAAAGTTTTCCCCCTCCCCCTCTTATAGTCAGAAGAGACACAAAATGCATGCTGGTATTTTTTTTTTTTTCCAATAAAATAGGACAGTTTGCGTTTTGATATGACTCAGTCCAGATCTGCCTTAACTACAAGACAGGCCTACTGCATTTCATTGCTCAACCTTGCTTTTGTGTACAAACATTAACTCACAGTTTGTGAATTCTTTTGCCTTTTTTACCCGTTTGTTGCTGTTTCATCCTTTTTTCACTTTTTTCTTTTCTTTGCAAACTTTATTAATTCTGTTTGTGTTATTTATCTTGCATTTTGACAATGGCTTCTAACTCTTCACATGTGTTTTAAGGTTGCATGTAATAGAGGAAGAAAGTCACTTTGTATTATAACAAGCAATGTACTGAGGAGGGGAGGTGAACGTCTTGATTCTCTGAGGGTCTGTAGCAAAGAGAGTGAGTTCAGTGGGTTTTTTTGACCCAAAGAATCCATTTCCAGGCAGGAAATTTTTCTGTTGCATGCTGGGAGAACCTTTATTATTTTGGTTTTATTTATTTTATTTTAAATAAATTTTTAATGTGATTTGTTTTATTTGATATTTTTTATGATATTTATTATTATTACTTTATATTTTTATTTATTAATAAAAATGTCCCCTATGAGTTACATAATAACAACATACAGTTTGTTCAGCTTTTAACAACATTAGATTTTAAACATGCTAATGTCTTCAGCCATATTATTATTTGAATTACTTGGATGAAATATTGTCTATTGTTATTCATTTTGTGATTGGCATTTCATCTTACTTTCATTTGCTTTTTATCACAACACTCAGACTATCATTTGAGGGTCATTAGAAAGTAGCATAAATGAGAAATTTAAAAAAATCCTTCAACCTATGAAATTAATTTTAATAATCATTTAATAATCCAATGTGAGTTGCAATAAAAATCAAATAAAATTAAAATGAAAGTCAAAAATCAATCATAATTCTGTCTTCATTTCTACATAATCTCATTACTTTAGTAAAAAGTACTTTTAAAAAATCCATGTACATAATCTCTAAAGTTACCTTAAAAAACTTAAATGTTTTTGTTTTTTTTTTTAAATTAATAATTACAACCTTCTGTTAGTAAGAACAAGATCTTAGGGTAGATTTACCAAAAACTAGCAAGACCAGGAAGTAATCATCATTCAAAACACATTTCCCTTAAAAGATTACCAAAAATGTTTATTAGTAATTGCATGGATACTAGCTATTTTTATTCTTTTAATGTTTGAAAGCAAATATTTTATTTCTTTTGTTATAGAAGGGATGTATATGATAAAGATTTTGCTTAATTACATTTCATCATTACTAATGCGTAAATATGAAATATTAGAATGTTCTCAAGAAGAATTGGTCATTACTAATGTCTCAGTTAACATCAAGAAAAAGAGAATTGAAATTTCTAGGACACATAATGAGGAAAGAGGGCTTGGAAAATCTGATACTCATGGGACATATTGAAGGCAATAAAGAAAACAGCGTACAACCTACTTAAAGAGCTTGTGTAAACAGTTGGCAGAACAAGGATTAGGACATATAGTGAAAAGATAAACTTTAGTAAGGGCTACAAAAGAGAGGAAGTTGTGGAGAGTCATGATCACCAAAGTTCTGAAGAGACACAGCACATAGAAGAAGACAAAGAATGCCTCAGTATAATGTCAAATCAAAAGTATTCAATAGAATAAACAATGCTGGATGTTCAAATGGATGTCAAAAATGAAAACAACTTCATATTAACTGCTTCAGAAAATATTATACCTGCCCAGAAGATTTAAATAAAAAATAGCCGTTGTCTTTTTCAAAATCTTTCTCTTGAAACCTCATACCTATCCCCACTTACTTCCAAAGTTTCTTGCTAAGTCATCTTATAGGTTTGCTATTAGCTGCCTTGTGTTCAACGTTTCACTCGGATGATTTTAGGTTTAGGAAAAGCCAGAAGTTATAGTGAAGTAGAGTGGGAGCGGTTTTTTTTTATGATTTGCCAAAAAAATTTGCACAAGAAATCTACTTTCTTTTTGTCAGTGTTAATGAAAAAGTCACACAATACAAAAGGTAAAATCAATGGCAACTGAGAAGGCAACAATTTATTGACATTCCAAACAAATCTTGTAAAAGATTTTAAAGAAAGAAAAAACATTTAAAGATGACAGAGTTTAAAAACAATCTTGTTGGTGTCATTATACTGAATTCAATTCTTTTTTATTTTTTTTCTTCTTTTTTTCTCAATTTGGCTTTCTTGTTGACAAAATAAAATTGGGGACTAAAATTACAAAATGTAGATTTGTATTGAGTTATAACATTTCTTACTTATACTTATATTATAATTACTTATGTGCCAGGAGAGAAGTTTGATTTTTCATGTTTTTTTTAGAAAATCGACTTTGTACTCACAGTGAAAGCTTGGGTTTCATCTGATAAGTACTGACACCAAAAATTAAATTCATAGCTTTTAGTAATTTTAGAGCATTTAGTTTTAAATATTGTCCGAAAAATGTACAGAAGTAAGTAATTTCTGCAGGTTAAAAAACAAAAATCAAAACTTTACTATTTCAAGAATAAATCCAAATAAAGTTGATATCTTTTGTATAAGAGTCATTGAATGGAAAATATATTCAAACCAGAATTCGAATTATTAATCACCACAAACAAAACAAATTTTTTTACTGTATTTGATAAATGAAAATTTTGTAAAATTGTAAAAGATTACAAAAAAGACTAATCAAAGAATAAGATCTGACACAATTTGTTAGATCATAATTAATAAAAACAAAAAATAGATAAAAATCTATATAACATCCTAATACCGCTGTGCACAAATTGTAGAACAAAATGTTTAAAATTTGCATTGTTTATTGAAAATCCCACTGAAACTACTACACTGTATAACATATTACATCATAATGTAGCTAAATTGTTCACTATAATTTCCCTTTCAAGGAAATGAACGGTTTATTTAATGACACAATGATTTAATAAAAATGTGTTTTGTGCCTTGCATCTTGTCCATATACAGTTTGTAAAGCTTCAGTAAACTATAAATTTTATAAGGCTGTCCTATAAGGCTTTTACTGATCACCGGAATTAAATTGTAACGCTACAATTTTGAACTGAAACTTAATCTTGAAACTGATTCCCTCAAAAAATGGTAACATTTAGGAAAAAAATATTTTGTATCATTATTTATCATGTCAAACCCCAACTTTCAAATTGGGTACAATTTTGTTGTTTTTATTTTAATAGCAGCAAGAATAAATCAAATTCATTCTTCATGCAAATTCTTTTTTATTTTCTAAATTTAATCAATCAAATGATAAATAGCACATAGTACAAAAAATCCAAAAGTCTTTGATAACGACTCCTGGAATAAGTAATACATGGAAAATTTATATTTAAAAATGTGCTCGAAAGCAAGACAATGATCCAAAATATAAAACATAAAATTTGTAAAATCAAACTTTCATGGATCTTTAACCAAAGAATAAGAAATGTACTAAAATATTTGGATCATTTTTTTTTATGAAAATAAATTATGTTATATTGAAACTTTTAGAGACGTCACTTTATTTTTTTATTTAATTGAAGGAAAGTATCATGAGAGTACGAATTCAGAAATTATCATATTTTTTTCTTTCAATATTTACCATTCTGAGATATGTCTGAAATTTCTTGAACAAATAATGAGGAAGGGCTAAGAGAATATGACATCCACAGTACATATTGAATTTGTGAACTTTTGTGAATAGATGGCTGAAATATGGGTAGGTGGCTTGGCAAGGGGACAAACATTGCTAAGAGCTACAAGGGATAGGAATTTGTGGAGAGACATGCCCATGTTCTGAAGGGACGCAGCCCATGGAAGAAATCTTGATATTGTGTCAGTCAATTTCACCAATATTTTTATCAAGAAATTTTAAGCACATATTGCTCTGTTTCATAATCTGACCAACAAACTGATTTCATCATTGTTTACTGATGACCAAGGTAGATTGTCTTAAAATTACAATTTGCTTCAACCATTTGATAAACATTTACTTAGCAGATTTTTGTTTAATGATGGGATAGATAAAAAAAAGGTCTTTAATTGTAATCATTTAAAGATTGAACTTTATCATTATTATAATCGTTTGAAAGATTATTTTGCTTTCATGTGTTAAGCAGCTTCAAGTTGGTTTAAATATTCCCTTGTATATTCCAACCTTTTGAATTTAAAATGGAATTCATATTTAATGTGCACAGAAAGGCATCTGCCAAACATCAAATCAGTTTTATTGCTGCTCAAGCACAAAACACAACAAATACTGTATTAAATACAGAATGCAAATACTGTTTTACTTTCAAAACTGTATAATCAATTGCAGATTGCCCAAAATGGAAAATGGCAAAGACATAACCTTGCATGGAATTATATCCCAGATGGTGTCTTTGGAAATGAAAGAAAAATTAACAGAAATGAATATTTCCAAATTAAAGTGTTTCCCTTTTGGCTTGATTTTGTATATCCAGAAACAGATTAAAATGTGTTGTTTATTTAAAAAACAAACAAACAATTATAAAAAGAAATGTTAGCATTTGGCAATAGAAAAGAATAGTTGCCCATGTCATTGACTATTGAAAAGAATAGTTGCCCATGTCATTGACTATTGAAAAGAATAGTTGCCCATGTCATTGACTGCTGAAAAGAATAGTTGCCCATGTCATTGACAGCTGAAAAGAATAGTTGCCCATGTCATTGACAATTGAGAATAAATTGTTTCTTATGAACTGAAAAGCACTATAGTCATAAAAGTAATCAAAAAGAAATAATAAATACAAAAATAAAGTCTTTACTTTACACAAAATGACATGATCTTTAAAAAACATATATTTATTCTAAATTTGGTCTTCCATAAACCTATCTGCAAATGCTAACAATGTTTCAAGATAGATCCAGAATGTTCCGAGAATTTCACCTTCACATGAAGTCATCCATCTGCATCATCATTTCACTTATCAAAACAGATGATTTAATTTTGAATTAAAAGCTAACAAGTTTTTTTTCACATTTTATTTACGTTTAAATTAATGTTTTCTTTTTCATTTCGCCTCAGGTTCAATATTTGAAGGAAGTTGATTTTGATTGGCAAAAAGTAATTAATGTATGACTTCAAGACATAGGCAGTGAGTATTCATTTATTATGGTGCCAAGTTGGGATGAAAGTCCAATCAACAAATCAAAAGCAGATTCATAGTTTTCTGATTGATTTTTATTTAACTGTCTATGGTTTTCAAGTTTAATGAAATTTGATGTCAAATATCACTTCTGATTGGTTGGTTCATTTACCCAAAACTTTTTTCAGTTGTCAGAGGATTTATAACCCACAGCCTAAAGATCATATCTGCTTACAAATTTGGTAGATTTCAATTAATCAGTGAATTAGTAATTATTGGTTTAAGATTTGTCTTATTGGGTGCCATTTGAGAATAACATTACAATTAAATAAACTAACTTTTAAATGCAATGTCAATCATTATCTACAGTTTTCTTGATTACTGTTCTCATCAGTTAATATTTCTCTTTTTTTTAATTCTTTTACACCCAGTAATCCCTTAGTGGCTTTACTGCCTTGCATGGGGTAAAATAATTAAAAAAATATTCCTTCTATGTTTATATTATTTTCATGCAATATTTGTGTGTGTGTGTGTGTGTGTGTGTGTATATATATATATATATATTTGTGTATTTTGGCAGCAATCATTCCTTCATGCACATTTCATTGAATACGACAGACAAGGTACTTTTATTCAGTTTTTTATGCAAGTTCTCATGCAATCTAATAATTTTTTTCTTTTGAGATGATAAATTATATAAAAAACTGTCGGAATGTTCTTTTTATCTAAGCACTTTCAGCTATACATTTAGCCATTTTCAAGGATTAAATATTTTAACTGTTAAATAAGTATAATGTATAGCTGAAAGTACTCGGATAAAAAAAACAGTTTTAATATTATTTATCATCCAAAAAGAAAAAAAATTTTTAGATTGCATGAGAAATATAAAAAAATAAATAAAAGCACCTTGTCTGTCATATTCAATGAAATATATATATATATATAAAATCTTATATTTCAGCTTTAGTCACTTTCCCACCACTGTGACACAGCTTCCCTGTGCTTTTTCTATAAATACTTTCATGGTAATTTTTCTGAAGAGCTTCCCTCTTTGGCAAAACAACTTTATGACTTTAATCACTGTACTAGATTGGCAGCTAGGTCTCATAAATTAAAGTTGAAATTGCTAGATGTATGTTCTCTGCTAACAATTTATTTTATCACACTTCTTATTTGTGGAACTCTTTTCTGGCTTCTTGTTTTCCAGTCAACTTTGATCTTTGAAGATTTAAATGCAATTTCAATCATTATGTTCTGTCTTCTTAATTCCTTTTCTTTTATTGTACTATCTCTATAATAATGTTTTTCTTTTTCTCATATTCTTTCACAATTAGTAATCCCTTGTATCATAGTGGCTTTATTACCTTGCTTGGGGTGAAATGAAGCCTGGATTCTTTGCAACTTTTTGATTAGCAAACAACCAATTTTAAACAAAGGTAAATATAAAACAATGTTCCTTAAAAATTGGAAAAAAATCTGTAAATTTTAATCTATGAATTAAAAATTATGAAAGAAATATATTTGATAGGTTTGTTCTGACTGTAAATTCATCTTATAGAAAAGTGTTTTTACTAAATCTATTCATCTGTGTTTTTCTTAATTTCTGGATCACTAAATTTGATGAAAGCTTTTTGGTATTAAAATTATGAATTTCCTTAGAATTAAGACTGACTTACCGTTGTCATCAAAACCATGAGTGATTTCATGTCCAATTACAACACCGATGCCACCATAATTCAAAGATCTGAAACCAAAAAAGCAGTGGTTGACACGAATTCTTAAATATTTATTTATTGAAATGGTTAGAACACAATACTTATCATTGACACAATTAAAACAACAAAAAGTCTCATGTAAACTGACAGAGAAAAATTATTTATCATGAGTCATCCAACAAGTTGTTGATATTTACTATGTTTAATCTAGCACTAAGCTAAAGACAGACATTGAGTCAATTGCTTTGTCCGCTGTAAGGAAAGTTGGCTCCTTGTGCTGCGCCAGGAAATTTTTCTCCCCGGAATCGATCCTTCAAATCTACAAATAAACCATTCACCCTTGCATGGATTATTGCTGCCATATATGATCTGGAGCCCCTTCTGTTTGCCTCAGGGTTCTTGATAAGTTCCAGAGACAAATATGCAATATAATTGGCCCTGATCTGGTATCTCATCTACAATCGCTCTCTCACAGACATGCCGTTGCCTCTGTCTTTTTTACAAATACTTTCATGGTAATTGCTTCGATGAGCTGTTTTCGCTGGTTCCAAGACTTCGCGAATTCAAGCGTCTTACAAGGCTGGCATCTTGTTCTCACCCTTTCACTATTGAAACTGTTAAATGTAGCCGCCTCTTCTACTCCAATACTCTCGCCTGTGGAACTCCCTTCCCTATTCCAGTTTCCCTGAGAGCTATAATCTCCAAATATTCAAATGTAATGTCAATCGACATCTCCAGATATGATTCGGGCCTTTCCATTGGATGACAAACTTCATGTCAGCTCGCGAAAAGGTTCATAAAAGAATTTTGTTTCTGAGAATTGAAGATTATTTAAATTTTGTTTTTAAATGTTTCCTAGTCTTCTATTGGCTGAAAAACACTTCGCATCAAAGTGGGAAATTTCACAAGTTTTACTTTGGATTCGCTTTTGCGTGTGTTAAGGAAAGTTTGTAAATTCAAGTCTTTTTAATTTCTAACAAAATCAATGAGTCAGTGCTTGGCATTTGAATTTTAAATCTAGATCTTGTTTTTGTTCACTACATGTTAAATAGGCGATCAAGTAAAATATTGCCATTAACTCTTTCTGTAGTGATATGCAAATGACTACCTAATTAGCATAGCTAAGGATGAGAGAGGAGGGGAGAATATGATATGCAAGATTAACAACTACTGCTGGACTGACAAAAATGCAAAGGAAAACACACTTCATAACACTTTAATGTTTTTGTCTTTTTTATTTCAAATCATTCAGGATTAAGTTGTTCTTGATTACTCTCCTTCAAAAGACAATAATTGGTGACTGGTGGATGAGTAGCAATGGTCAAATGATAAAGAAACAACAGAATAGTCCAACAAACGGAATTAACAAAGTTGACGATAAAAAGAAAAAAAGGGCAAAAATTAAATACTATCAAGCAAGCAAGCAAACAATATATGCAAAGCAAATTTACAGGTAAAAAAGCAAAAAGTTTACAAACTACAAATTGGTGTCTATACACAAAATCAAGGTCAGACCAGTGAATGCAGTGGTCAGTCTTATAGACAAGGTAGATCTGGATGGAGTCTAGTCAAATTGTAAACCGACCTATTTTATTGACTAAGACAAATATCCCTTCATGGATTTGTGGACTTCTGCCTATAAAAGGGGGGAGGAAAAGTTTGGCAGTTATTCCCAGTTATGATTTTTTTTTTTTTCAGATCATCCATGAAACTAGTTGCTACCAGTATTGACCATTTTTGTATTCATTCGTCTTTGAGTGTTGTTTGTTAACTTTTGTTTGTCATTGTTTTTCTGTCAAACTTTTTTTCATTTGTGCTACTTATGTTCCTCCAAGTATGGCAGACTCTTCTCAGCCTCACATACTATTACAGGCAGTAGCAGGCTCATCAGCATGAGTGATAGACAAGCCTAAAGGGCCTGAGTACTATGAAAGCCTCAAAGAACTGTATGAGGAGTTCATCATTGGCAATAAACTGATGGCTGTACCCTCAGTGGTGGAGGTGATTAGTACTAAGACCATCTCCCTGTTGACAACTGATATAAATCAAGGAAGTTGATTAGTATCAAAAGGGATGGAATGGTGGAAGCTCTGAAAAGCCTCAATATTGGAGTTATGGTTTTGGCCAGGAGGACCAATGCTATGTGGGACATCCTGCTGGTGTCAGAGGAGGAGGCTAAGTCATTCTGGCAACAAAGGCAGTAAGGCTGCAAATGTAGTACATGGGCACCCAAAAGACCGGATTACTTTACACAGGGTGCCCATGTACATCAAGGAGGAACATTTGGAAATCTTTCTGATGAGATATAGATGTGTCGAAGAGGTCTCATCAGTAAGAAGTAGAGCAAGCATTGCCACTAGTGACTTTGAAGTAATGTGACAATGACCCACAAAAATTTCAATGACATCCCCAATGTACTGACCTGTGGTGGAAAATTCATTTTCATTGTAGTAGTAGACCATCATCTCCATTGTTGGACCTGTGGTGCCACAGGGCATCTATCAAAGTTGTGTCCTGGCAGGTAAACTGCACAATCAACTCCTGCGACAGCAGCATTAGAAGGAGCAGTTGGGGCAGAAAAGTCCAGCCAGACCTCCAGTGAATGGATGGAGGTGGCAACAAGGGGGAAGAAGTTGGTTGCTCCTCCTCCCCAGCAGGATGTCCCACCAAAGAAGGACACAATGCCAAAAAAGTAGCTGATCAGCAGCAAAAGCAGTCTCAAAAGGAGGAGCAGGGTCTGCAGCAGCAGCATCAACAGGTTCAGCAAGAGCTGCAACAACCAGAAGAGCAACTCTAGCAATAACAACAGGAGCAGCTCGAGCACCAACCACCTCTGGTGCTTCCAGAGCTAGACTTGTACATGGAGATGAAGGAAATGCATCCACCTCGATCTCTTCATTAAAAAAGGGTATGAGGTAGAGGAAGATGAGGAAAGCAAGATCATCAAAAAGGAGAAGAAATCTGGTTGAAGTAGGGCAGAGAAGCCCCTGGTAGATGCTCAGACCCAATCCGCCCCTGTTTCACCAGTAAGAACAGAGAAAAGCCATCTGCCAGGTAAAGCAAGGAGCCTCCCTTCTTCCTTTTCTAGGGTTCTGATTCCTTCTTCTCCCTTCCCCAACCCATCCTAAGGAAAAAACTAAAAAATTGTGTTGTGTGAACAGGCATTCCATTGAGAGGGACCTTTCTACTGGGACGAAAACCCTCTTGAGGCCTCACCCTAATCAGAAACACTGGGGGAAATTTAAAAATCTGGGATCATTTGGCAGGGACCAAGGATGCTTTCCCTAAAATTGTTAGGTACTAGGCCTAGAATGGCTGGACAAGCAGAATTTCCGGCAACAGCTAACTAGATTAGTGCAGTGAGAACTAGTGAGGCGGTTATTTTGGAATAAGTGTCAGGAGAGGCTAAGGGATAGTATTAGGTCTTTTACCACAAAATATAGCCAACGACTCACTCTAGATAAGGCTAAGAAGGTAAAGACTCTCGAGGATAGTCAATACTAGGCAGAGGCTGGGGAGATTCCCTAGAGATAGGTTTAGCCAGGCAGGCTCTGAAGGATGAGGAAAGCAAGCATTACCAGGGTCAGGTAGTTAACATAGGTTAACCAAGATGTCTAATGAACTTGTGAATATGGGCACAGAATTGAACAAGGATGAAATCTGTTGAGGTTCTGATTGTTATATTTGGGAGGTCAAGACCCCAGTTGTCCAAGGAGATTTGTGAGGCATTTCAGCAGCATTTCAAGAGATGTTTTACCAAGGAGCCTGGTTTCTGTGGCAACGAGTCTCACAGCTATTTGGCTGACTTTCCTCAGCCTGACTTGACTGCAGCAGCTAGCTGTGAGGGTGAGATCACAGAGGGTGAAGTTCACTTGGCATTGAAGAGGGTCGACAGTAGCAAGTCTCCAGGAATTGATGGTCTGCCCTACCAATCATACTTGAGGTTGTCGCACATCTTTGTTTCGATTTTGACTGTCATGTTCAACAATTGCTTCCACTGGGGATCTATCCCTGACTGGATCTCCAGGGGTGTTATCATGCTCCCCTATTCTCTGGGTTGAAACAGATGGTATTTTTCACATTGCTAGCTGTAGCAAGAATGGTCGTTTGGATGTCACAGATGGAGGGAATCTTGTAATATGAATGCTATTTTCATCAGAATCTGGTTGGATTCTTTGGGCATCAGCTTAAGATGAAGATCAGATCTGACAGAAAGTATTTGTTATCAACAGATTTCAGGGAAAGGTGGGTAACTATGGTGAACCTGATTCGCATGAATGGGGCAAGCCTTATCGTAACAGGGTGGTTTCTTGTGAACCCTCCCCTCATTAAGTTAGACACTATTAGTTTATCTAGTTAATGTGAGTAAGTGTTGTTCCCTGCCTGTTCCCAGGACACATTTGTTATAATCCATTTTGAGATTCCTAGCCTCCCCAGTTTGTTTTTGTCTCCTTTTTATCTCAGCTGGGTCAGAATTTGATTTTCCAATTCTTTCATTTCATATTTCTTTCTCACTCCATTAGTGAGTGTGCTTCTTGATTTTGTCTATTGGTAGAATGCAGTGGCTGCTGTTATTATTATTTTGGGGGCTGGGTGAGGGGGCGGCTATATTTGTTATGTCATAGTTAGGTTTTGTTATAATTTTAGTTTGTTTTTTGGGTTTCTCCCTACCCACCTCAATTCATGATTCATTAAATTTTTCTATATTTTTGTAGAAAAAAAAGTGAAAAAAGAAAAGAAAGAGACATTGAACATTTGTACATAGAGCAATTTTTACATCATGATGTTGTTTTGTAGGTTCCCTGTGAATATGTAGTATTATGGTACTTGTAGGACTGAATGACAGACGAGTTTTTGCAATGAATGAGTAAATTTTAATGAATAAATGGGTTGAGAATCTGATTAACTAGGTTTAGAATAGTTACTGTTGAGCAGCCTTACCCCACTTTCAGTTTGGCCGTGTGCCACAATTATGTAATTTTCAGTCAGTATACATTCCCAGTTATGAGAGAAATCAACAGTGACATTAAAACTGATAAATGCAATTAAGATTAAATATGAAAAGGAGAATTCAGAAGAACAAACAATGGAACTGAAAATAATACAAACATGAAATAACCTTGAATGTTCCAACATATTGACAAGAGTGAATCAATAAATTCATAGCTTATGAACAATTATGTACTGAATTTTGATCTGAAATTTTTACCGTGTTCAACAGATACGATCTCTAGGGAGTCATTAAGTGCAGAGACAAAGTCAGAGATCATTCGGTAAAATGAATAGGTTTTTTGTCATGACAGTCCTATGAACATATTGTGTTACATATGCATGTGCGTGACTGTGTGTTTTTGTCTGTATGTGTTTATGTGCTCTTGTGTGTGTTCTTCTCTGTGTGGCTATGCTTTTGTTCTTGTGGCAGTGTTCATTTATATGTATATTCTTGTGTAGGCGTGTAGGTGTGTGTGTGTATATGTGAACTTTTGTGCTCTCTTTTTCTTGTATGTTTTTTATCATGTTTTATTTTGTACAGATGTTCATGTGTATAGGTATGTTCTTGCATCTATATTGTCATTCTTGTGCATGTGCATATGTTAGGATCTTCTTAAATTTACATTTTCCTAATCCAGACACTGTTGGCTTTTCAATTATGAACAATAATTAATGTAGTCCAATTCTTAAAAACCTCAATTCTGTAAAAGTTTATGCTTAACTGTTGACACAATTTATGAAATTTTTGTCTGTTGTTGTGCATTCTTGAGAAGAAAATGCCCCAAAATGTTGCTATCATTATTTTTATCTTGACAAAAGTTTAATTAAAATTCGTTTTTGAATTTCCCCAGAGCACAAAGCAAATTTGGGTCTCAATTATTAGTCCATAGAGGTCAAATAGTAATTTGTAAATCTGGAAGAAGAAAAAAAAGAGGATTTACTTTCTTTTTTTAGGTCAGCATTTACGGAATCTTAATGTTTTTCTTGGGTTTGTAAAATTTCCCAGTATTGCAACTGGAACCCAGAAAGGTTGGTTATTTGATACTTTCCCTTGTCTTTGTTTTTCTTTACCATTTTTACTATGAAATTTTCATACATTGGTTCCAATCCATTGGATTGACTAATAGGAACATCCCCCACCCAAAATATTGAGACAATTCCTACAGGTTTATGCTTTAACCTCTTCATTTTCTTTATTTCTCATTGTTTATTGAGAACTTTGTTAATTTCACTTATTGAGAATATAGTCAATTATACTTAACATTGGCCAATTACTCCACAAGTCTCTTGCAAGAAAATTGCAAGAAAGAAAAAAATAGCCAAGTATATTCTGGCTGGACAATGTTGTTGGATAAACTACTTTGTCCTTTTCTTGACTATTTTGGTCAGTTTCTTAATTCTCATCTCGAGACAGACATTGGAAGTCAGGCAGGATAAATGGAAAGATTCTCTTGTAATCTTATAAGGGGACAAAATGTTTCTGTCCTGCTTAATCACATGTTTATTGTCATTTGTCAAGACTTGTTTTTTTGTCTTTTGATCAGTTATAAAAACTGAAGCAAATTTTGAACAAAATGTTGGAGACATGGACATGAAGTGTTTTTATTATGTTTACATTTCTTTTAATTGAGATTTTCATTTGTCTTCAACAGAATTCTTTCAGTCAATAGAAGGATGTTCTTGTAATTTGAATCGATGACTGTACAATGCAGACAAAAGCATTGAGAAACAAAGAAACCAAAAGCAGACATTTGAGTCCTTTACAAAAAAATCTTTCAGAATTACATAATAATTATGAGGGGATTAAAATGTGATACAAAGTTGAATATTTTTGAAAGATTTTAAAGAAAAAAAAACAAACTCACTTTGGATAATGCTGACTGTAGAACACAGGCTGTAATATTCCAGCTGGAAAAACTAAAAAGAGGCAGGGGGAAAAAAAAGGAATTAATAAAAAAGATTCTAAACATTCAAATATTTTTGCATGAGTAAAAAATGTTTTTAGAACAATAAAAGCAGACATATTAAAAAGCAATTTATACCAAAATATAACAACAATTAAAATGACAGGAACATTTGTATAATGTTTGATACATAACTTTTTTTAATCATTCTTTTATTTCCGTATTACCATTTTATAGCAATATATATTTTTGTTACTGCTTCTTTTTTGTTTTAAAATGCTTTTGTAGTATGTCTGCTTTTATCACTCTAATAAAATTTATTCAAATGAAAATCACTTTGATAAGAAATGTCAGATTATTGTCTTTTCTTACAGAAAAAAACAATAAATTGAATTGAATTTATTGAAACATTTCAAATAATGAATTATTTTCCACCCTACAACCCCTTTCTCCCAAGCAAAAAGTTCCACTAGTTTTAACCTTCAGGACTAAGACCTACCATGCCATGCATGTTGTAGTGAACCACCTTCATTCCCTCCTTTGGTGAGAAGTTCCACTTGAGCATCATCTTCTCATGAACTATTCCTTTGTGGAACCAACTCACAAGATGATGCTTTCCTGATCACTACAATCTTAACCTGTTCAAATCTAAGGTTAACTGTTATCTTCCCCACATATCCACATAAATTGTTCCTCTTTCTCTGTAACCTTCTACCTGAAGTGGCTTTCGGGCCTTGTACATGGTGAACATCATTGTAAAAAGAAAAAAAAAAACTACACTATAACTTTCATTACTGTGTCAGTCCCAGGTTCAAAATAACCTAAAATTTATAATTAGGAAAACAAGAATTTATTTACGTTTCTTATCACTGAATTTGTTTGATTTTATCTTTATTTATCTTGTACAAGGTAAACATTTGTATAATGATTTGATATAAAACTCCACTGACCTATGCTGAATCTAATTAAGATGCCATATCCGTGTTTCAATTTAATCTTCACTGGGTACTTCACACTTGTGCCATACTAAATCCAACTTAATGCCAATAGACAATATAATCCTTACATGCTTGTAGCCCAGAAACTATTCAAACTTTTCATTACAAGGGAACAGCAATAACCAAAAGGCTCAAAGACTTTGTTTTCTTCTATTTTCTTAAAAAGGGATCTTAAATGCTTAACTGATTTTGATATTGTACCAAAAGTGGCTTAGTCCAATGAAAGTTAGTAAATAGTTTTGTTTGATCTCACGATTGATTGATTGATTAATGGCACATCAACATCCTTATGGATCATTTAATGCTGGAATTTAGTTTTCTTGGGAGATTTGAAATAATAAAAATATGTTATTCTGTTTTTGTACCTATACATGTTTGTATGGACATAATTAGTAAAGATGGTGATATGTGTATTTGATGTTGTAGTTTTGTTGAACTTATATTTTGGAATACAGTTTGATTTCTTTAAGAAATTGTCAGATAATATATAGATTAATGCCATGAAAGAGTTCTTTCATGTTGGTTGGTTTTGTTTAGCACCATATCAAACTCTATGGATTATTTAATACCAAAATCTAAATATTTTGAAGACAATTTACATAAAAATGTATTGCTGGTATTTTTACTATAAAAGCAGATTTGGGAACAATAGCAATTAAGAGGTGCTTCCACATTCCTTGAAACCTCCAATCTCCCAATCCGAGGTCATACTACCAGATGTAGTTTATTGTCATACCCAGAACGAGTTCAATCTCCAAAAGCAAAACACAAGACTCTGAGAATGCATGAAATATTTGACAGAAAATAGAATCAAGATTAGAGTTTCAAATTTATTAATTGAGCATTAGAAAATATCTGGTGGATTTTATAAGTATTATTCTCTGTTCAAATACAACTTACCCAACAATGCCAGCTGGTGGTTTTTAATAACATTACACCCAACGATACACACATGAATAGTATGACAGCAATTTTAACATCAACTTTATGCTAACCTCCACACAAATAGGATTTTTACATCTGACAGAAAGTTGAACTCAGAAAGATTTACTATGAACTGATAGATTATGTATCGATTATAACTATAATAATTATAACTAATAGATTATGAATCAACATAAAAGAGTTGAGTCTGTCCATCCATTTTTATCCAAGTGATCTTGGAAAATGGGAGATTAACATTTGCTTAAAGGCATTTTGTGTAAGACAATCACAAATGCTGAAACAAATGGTTTTTGTTTTTTTGCTAACATCTAGCAGAGTAAAAAAGATGTTCGTCATTAAACAGCTGAAGGTTTTTTAAAAAGAAATAATGAAAAAAAAAAGGAAAACTGAATTCTATTTTTAAAAAGTTTATTTGGCTATTTAATACTTTCTCCTGACTTTGTTTTTCTTTACCATTTTTACTATGGAATTTTCATACTTATTGGTTCCAATTCATTGGATTGACTAATAGGAACATCCCCCACCCAAAATATTGAGACAATTCCTACAGGTTTATGCTTTAACCTCCTATTTTTCTTTAACTTCTCATTGCTTATTGAGAACTTTGTTAATTTCACTTATTGAGAATATTGCCAGCTTAAAATTTGAACATGTGTAAAAATTCACACTTGTTGACCAAAAAAGGGATAATTTTATCAGCTTTTAACAACAAATGTCAGAATTGATTTATTTGGTAAGAAAAAACACTGGCCAGGTGTTTCAAAAAAAAAAAAAAAAAAAATAGACAAACACATTGACCTTAGCTAAATGTTTGTAGTAGATTGTTTTTTTGCCATCTGTTCATCTTTGTTCATAAAAATTCAGTGAATATGACAAAAGATGTCCTCATTTCAAAAATGAATGTGACATGGATCTTTGTTTGCTACCAAGATCAAAAGTAATTAAACATTTTTTTTTATCTTCAGATGAAAGGGCTAGAAAATTGTGTATTTTAGTTGCTACACTACCACTTACTTTTAATAACCAATTTCTTTTAATAACATTCACTCAAAATTGGTAAAAATTATTATTAAACTTTTTGAGGATTAAATTGCTATTTGGTTTTTCTGATTTTTTTTATCTTAGCAATGTACTATTATGCACCTAGTTAGATTGTATACACAAAAAGCATATATATATATATATATATATATATATATTGAGACATTTCGTTGAATAATTTAGACATATTCTGTCTAGTCATAGTTTCAACATAGCACAATGTCATCATCAGGATACTGTTTATTACAAGACATTGTGCTATGTCGAAAGTACTTGGAAATAAAAGAAATATGTATCAACACAGTGATTTTCTCTCGTCCTTCAATAATGATACCAAAAAGCTTATCCATTAAAATGAAAAGATCTTATTGAGAATAAGTAGACAGAACATATCTAAATTATTCAACAAAATATGTCTCAATGAAAACATTCTGCTGAAATACACACATATATATATATATATATATATATATATATATATATATATATATATTTGTGCATTTAGGCAGCAATCAATCCTTCTTTCATGCACATCTCATTGAAAACAATAGACAAGGTGCTTTTATTTAGTTTTTTTATACAATTTCTCATGTGATCTAACAATTTTTTTCTTTTCGGATGATAAATTATATAAAAACTGTCCGAATGTTCTTTTTATCCAAGCACTTTTGACTATACATTTAGCCATTTTCAAGGATTATATTTTAACTGTGAAAATTCGAAATAGTTTGTTGCATGTATGTTTTATAAAATGTTTTCATTTTTTTTTTGTTTCAAAACACAGTCAAGATATTATGTCCATGTTCAAAGTTAATATTATTAAGTGTTGGTTTGTTTGGTTTTATTAATAAGGCTTCCATTATTTTTATCCTTTTTTTGCATGTAGATGATGCTATTATATTAGTGTTGTCAACAAGTATGTTCCGAATAGTGCCCAGTAGGTCTCCATGAATATTTAAATGAGATCTAATTGAGCTATTGTCAGAAAAGTGTAGTTAGTTTGCATGTCAAACATGTCGTAGCATGGCTATATATATATATATATATATATATATATATATATATATATATGTATATATGCTTTTTTGTGTACACAATATAACTAGATACATCAATAAATCTGAATGCACTGATCCAACCTTGTAAGTAATGATTTTCAGCAAATAACGTCAAGCGTTATTTTTTTTTATTTTACTCCTTGTTCTGATAGATATTTAAAAAAACAATTTAAGAGAATTCTGAAATTGATCAACAAATAAAATATAAAATGACTAAAATTTCACTAATGTTAATTATTACTTTAGCCAGACTTGTTCGTTTTGTCAGAAGTTCTTACTCTATTAATTTGATTAGTATGTTTGAACCACATTTTGATCATTACATTCTCCAGCCGTAGGCATTAGGACAAAAACAATAAAGATGTGGATATTAATACAAATAATTAAAAAAAAAAAAAAGAAGAAGCATCAGATTATTTACATCACTTATATACAGACTAATATCCTCATCTGTTTTTATTATTATTGCTATTATTGCTATGATATTATTATTGGTGATAATAATGAAAAAGATTAGGATATTAGTTCAAATGCAAATAATTTTAAATAATGATAATTCCTCATCGCAGAAATTCAAACAGAAAAGGTAGCAAAAAAGCTATGACTGTTTGGAGTACCAGTTTTACCCTGTCTTTTTTTCAATCACAATCGGTGAGACTTACATGAAACGCCACACCCAAACCACAACCACTCATCTTGTCTGCCGCTGCTGCTGCTCTGATGTTCTCTCACTCATGCTCATTTTATCGAGTGGCTGAGGCTCAGAAATTTGCATAAGCCACGAATTCATCTCACAAAATCTCTGAGCTACATGATCGAATTTTGTTCTTAAATTGTAGCTTTTGGATCGACCATGTTTTCTTTTGTGTATTTTGAATGCAAAACGCATACGAGCATGTTTTGTTCCAGGAGGTAAGACATTTTCTCTCCAAACATTTCTTGTAATAAATTCAAGAGCAAGTATTTCTTACCATCAAATGTCAATAATATTTACTCTACCATTAAACCAACAGCATTTGTTAAAAATGAGCTAAAATTTACTTGATGCTTGAATCTCATTCTGTTGTCTTTGAAATTGCTAAGCAGTTATTCCAGATGGTAACAGACCAAAAATTGCAGATTGGTACCAGTGAATTTTATTCTGTTTAGAATTTGAACAACAGTTAAATCTAATCCTGATTTTCATGCAACAACAAATGAAAAAAATATAAAAGAAAAGAGGTTACAGGGAGAGGCTGGAACAAGAAGAAATTAATGTGCCAAAAGAAGATTCAGGATCCACCAATGTCATATTTTTTCCAACAAGAATTACAGACAAGGAAGAGCAGGTGGTGTATTGGATAGTAACTCAATGCAAAATCACAGAGCCGAGTTCAAATTACAGTCAAGTTCATTACATTCACTTATAAACAAATACCCTTGGGAAAGGTATGACTCCATCTCTTCTCCTCTCAACTAAGAGTTAATTAGCAGAGAAGACTGGGCTCTATAGCCATGGCTGGCAACCACTCTAGAAGAAGGAAAACTCTGAATTCAAAACATTACAATTGTTCATGACTCTCAGCAATGGAGATGAAAAGAAACACAACAAAAAGGAAATTTACCCATATTGTTTGTGTTGGGATCATAAAATGCATTCACTACAGCTGGAGACTGCCACCATCTAAAAGAAACAGAATTATTAGAGAAGATTAAAATCCAAAGAATAGAAGAAAAAAAATCAAAATGAAATTTATATTTATAGAAATAAATGATATTGTCCCTATCTTTTTTATCGGTGTCAAAACTTAAAAATGGATAATGCTAGAAACAGGAAACAAGCAACTTTTTCAAATTGAATTTACAAATTGGATTGTCAAATACAAGAATTTGATCTTTAGTATAAATAATGTTGATTTTAAACAAAACTCTTTAGTCAATGGATATAAAACTCTTTATTTTGACAAAATTCAAACACCATTAAATAGTTTCTTCCAATTCTCTTTATCAAAGGCATGAGCTCCTTACTGATCCACATGACAAGCAAATGTTGTATGAAGAATTGGATTTACTAGTCATACTGTTTTTCAATTGTTTCCACACCTGCATTATAAGTACAATTCAGTACTAATGGTTGCAAGTCCATATTCTTCAGTTAACTAGAATAGGTTGTTCCCCTCTAGGTGAGTAAGGTTTTGGCTGGGTTCTGCTCATTGAGCACTCTGGCTAGGTTGGATTTCCTAGAAGATAAACTCCTACCAATAGAGCTCTCCAGGTCATAGGTCATACTTGCATATCTATGAAATTGGAGAGATCCTGCCCATTCTAGGATTTTGTCATTGAGGTTTACTTCACTAAGTGACTAAAGTTTTGCCTGATTCCTAGCCATTGCCCTGCCTTGTTAGGTTGGACCTGCCAGTAGAGCTTTCTGGGACATAGGAGCATGCAAACCATTCAAACACATCAAGGTACTTAATCATGGCAGGATTAAACTAACAATTTTTTTACATCTCATCTCTTCAGTCGTTATTAGTATGGCCAACTGAAAAAAAATAGCACAAATAGGATAGCAAAGGTCTTGTACTAACAACTTTTTAAACTGTTTTGAGCTCCATTATGCATTTGAGAGAGTAGCATAACTTAAAAAAAGAAAAGAAATGCTATGTACTTCAGGAATCACTATTCAAAAATTAGCCATCAATAGTGAAAAGTCCCTGATGAAAAGCAACAGTTAATAAAAAAGAACATCTACCAGAGAATCAGATCCACTGATCTAGTCAATGGTAAATTTTCATGCACAATAGTTCTTAGTGAAGCTCTTCCAAACTATAAGAAATAAAATTGGTCTGATATCAAATAAACACAGAAATCAAACAATACTTTTTCTTTTGTCCTTAACAGTGGGAGGGAGTCATTGGGGGTGCTGATGGGCTAAGCTGTCCAATATTTTCCTCCATGTATCGTGGTTGTGTGTCAGAGCCTGGGTCTCAACAAATGGTTTCTTGGTGTGCTCATCCTGTGTCATGATTTTGAGTGTTTTAACATGGCGAAAGCCCATCCCTCCAACTAGGTGGCTTGCCTTGGTCAAGAATTCATGGCTATTATAGTTCATCTGAGTAACCCTTCCACTCTGGCTGGTGACCTGTGTGAAAGAGGTTCTTCTCCCAGCACATGTTAACACCCTCTCACCTGAGTTTAGCCCACCAGCTGAAATAGTTTACCAGGGCATAGCAAGTTGGAGCTATCATGTGAGAGATTTAAGGAAATGGTTGACAACCAGTGATGCCCATCCACCTGAAGGTGAAGCGTGTCAGACATCAAAGGTATTACCTCTATCCAGAGCCCCCAATGCCCATATATATATGTGTGTGTGTGTGTGTGTGTGTGAAAGTATGTAGAAAAATAGGAAAGAACACGTTAGGTAAATAATCCATGGTTCTTTAGTATTTTTGTTTTTATTTTTAAAAAACAGTGCTCCATACAGATGTACAGCTTTAAATTTCAAAATTGGTTATTCCTAAATTTTCGCTTGAGGACAAAACAGGGCTTGTGACTTTAATTCAATTTAATTTTAATAATTATATTGATGGTTTCAGCTCTCGTTTTTGAAACATGAGAACTCTTATGTAGCAAAGGAATCATATTCCTAAAAAAAAATAATATATATATATATATATATATATATATATATATATATATATATATACACACACACACACACACATATATATATATATATATATATATATATATATATATATATATATATATATATATATATATATACAATGGATGTCAGATTGAACAGTTAGTCATCAAATGTACCACTTTAAGAAATATTATTATATATTCTTTAAATGACAATAATAGAAATCAAACAATAACATTTACCAAATATGAATCTTTTTGTTTTCAATTCAGCAACTGGTTAAGTTAGAAAATGATTTTGGCAAATGAGTAAAACAAATTATGATGTTGTAAAGGTTTTGGGATATAATCTTAAAATCTCTGAATTTGTTTTGCAAGCAAGTGTCATTTAAGGGACATTCATTTTTTGCTCTGCAGTTACACGTGAACTTTGAATGGTGTGGGTGGTTTGTTGGTTGTTTTTCTGTTATGCTTCTTTAGTATTATTTATGTCATGTTCTTGGTGCAACTGTAGCTGATTTTTACTGTTTTTTGTTGAATATTGAAGAGTGCTTGATGGGTTGGTGAGGAAGTGTTTGTGTATGAGTTTAATGAATATTTTTCCATGCTTGTTTTTATGCATGGTGGGTTGTAACATATGATGCATCTTTATCTGTTAGCTTTTTTGTGTTGTCTAGTGTGTATGTGAGTATAACTAAAATCCACTATCTTTTCAGGCTGTTTCATAATATTTCTTGACTTCATTGAAGATAGTTTCACTGGAAGAACTGTCAGATAAGCTGCAGTTAACTGATTGTGGGATGTGCTTGATTATTGATGATGGGTGGTTAGAAGAATTGCATATGTAAAATGATTTGTTGTTGGGGTTTCTGTATGGTTTATACATACCTTTTCATAGGTTGTATATGACATCTAGGAAATCTACTACTTTTAGGTTAGTTTTTATGTCTATGTTAAATCCCATGTTTTTGAACATTTTTATGATTATTTTTTGAGTTTTATCTATTTTGGGTCTGTTACAGGTTGTTAAGATAATGAGACATTCATCCTGGTAAAGGACCATATCATATATATATATATATATATATATATATATATATATATATATATATAAAAGAAAGAACAGTAAGATATATAATCCGGTGTTCTTATAGATAAAAATACATCCCTACCCCCCTACCAATAATGGATACAATAATACAGACATAATGAACACGCAGACACCCCTTGTCCAGTTGAAGTAGATTTATCTGTAACCTTGGAAACGTGAATTATGATTTTAGCTGTGTCTTTAAAACCCAGTAATTTTAAAAGTTACTCCAAAATACGCTTGAGGATGAAATGGAACTAATGTCTTTAATTTAATTACAAAATTAAATTCGTAGCTTTTAGCCTCCATTTTTGAAACATGGTTAGAACTGTGTAGCGAAAAAAAAACATTTTAAATAAATCAATTTATAATATATATATATATATATATATATATATATATATATATATATATATATATATATATGAATGAAGAAATATAGTTTTAAAGTGTGCTATATTTATGGGATAAAAGTGAGATAGAGCATATCAGAGATAGAGCATATGTAAATATAAAAGTGAACACTGAAGTCAACACAATGTTCAATGTTCACTTATATATATATATATATATATATATCTATATATATTGTTAAATTTCTCAGAATAATTCTGAAGATATGATGAATTGGATAAAAGAGACAATTGAGAAATATTTCTTTGTCCTTGCCGACATGTTTCGTCATTTGACTTTATCAAGGCAAGTGATGATAAATAAAACAAAATGCTGTGTAGCTACATAAGATTGAAAACTTTTTAAAAAATGGTCCTGTGTAAGCCTCTTTCTGGATATTGGTAACTTTTTTTTTTTTTCACTAAGAGCTTGTTTTTGTTTTCCATGTTGACAATATTGTTAAATTTCTCAGAATATTTCTCTGAAGAATTATATATATATATTAGAGGGAAAGAGTATGACAAAGTGGAAAACATTTTCATGTGATGCATTTCTTCTTTAGGATTTCATCAGACTAAATTTATGCTCACATTGATACAGAGGCAAATGCACAGAAACAAAAAAGAGATGCTGAGAATTTAAAATTTAAAAATGTTTTTTAATATATGTATTTGTCATATTTTTTTCCCTTAAAATTGTTCTTGATATATAAGAAAATTATATATCGCTTATATATATATATATATATAAAGACAGAGAGATCTACTGTGTTTACTCTTTATAGATATTTTTCATTACTATATACATTTAGCAGATACACATGTTTGAGTAGACATCACTGTTTTTAAACTGGATAATTCAATGTCTAACAGCCTGGTCATTCGAGAGTCTTAATGAAGATGTGCCTTCTGTCAGGGTTTGAATATGTTTCCCTTTTATATTAGGGAAACCACCTTTTTAACTGGTGTGCTTTAAGCCACAAAAGACTTTGCAGGAATTCAAGGTTTAATAATCATTTTTGCTTAAAAAATACACATTTCTCAGGAGAGTTTGTAGTCCATATCTGGCAGGGTTCAAAGCTATGTCCTTGTTATTTTAAGGAAACCAACTTCAACCAGGTGCACTTTAGACCCCAGCTACCAAACACTTCAGAGGAAATCAAGAGTCAATTAACCTTTTAAAGCCCATCTCTGCTAACTTTATTTTCATATCAAAACATAAACAAAATCATTTCTAAAGAATTAATGGATTTTATTTTGAAACCAACATTTCTCATTGCTACAAATGTAATTGTGAATACGAGTTTTTTTTAAACAGTATAATTCAACATCTCCCAACCTGGATGTTCTAATGTCTTATATATATATATATATATATATATATATATATTGCTGATGAGGGCATTAGTCTAAATATAAATAATGTACTATTGTATCTAATCTTTAGAGACCTAAGTATTTGCTCTTTAGGGAGATATTATGTGTGTGTGTGTATTTATATATATATATATATAGAGAGAGAGAGAGAGAAAATGTATATTTGGGCAGTAATCTTTTAAACATGTTTCATTCAATATGACAGACAAGGAAAATTTGTTCATTTTTTATTTACCATATTTGACAGTGTATAAGACGCACCATAACTTCAGCAGGCCAAATCAAAAAAATAAAAAATAAAATTAATAATTAGTAAAATTATTAGTAAATGGTATAGCCTAGGCTATATTTATGAGGTATTATTTTGGTTAAATAAATTACAATCAAATGAAAAATAAGAAAAAAAGAACACAAGTCTATAAAAACTTTGCTATATCCAAAAGTAAGAAAACAAAATAAAAATCAAGCAATTATTACAATTGAGCAAAACAATACAGTTATTAAAATTCAGTCAAAAATTTTCCTTTATATGATCTGTACAATTTGCATTTAATGTCTATATATATATATATATATATGAAGAAATATAGTTTTAAGGTGTGCTATATTTGTGGGATAAATTGCTCAATATCAGAGATAGAGCATATGTAAATATAAATATAAAAGTGAACATTGAAGTCAACACTCAGAGGTGACAGGCTGTTTCATGCTAGATGCAATCGCCAGGCCAATTGCATCTACCATGAAACAGCCTGTCACTTATGAGTGTTGACTTCAATGTTCACTTTTAAATATATATATATATATATATATATATATATATATATATACATATATATACACACACACAGATCCATGATGTCTGATTGACTGAAATTCTGGGATCAGGTGTTATTATTTACAGTTAAACTAAAATCCTCATCATTGTTGCTGATGAAGACATTAATCTAAATATGAATAATGTATAATTAATATGTATTGAAATAATTAGGATATAAAAATTCTGATTATATTTATACCAATGCAACCAGAAGTCATTGCAAGAAAAATATTAATAAAACAAATATATGCAATAAACTCAAATTATATATTTGTAAAATATAATTTTAGTGAAAAAAAGTACTAATATTAAATGTGATGAAATTAATATAATGAATATTATCAATGATAACAATTTTAATCTGCTTAATAGCCTTTTAAATAATGACAATAGGTATATGAAAGTTACTCTAAAGTCTAAGCTAATAGGAGTTGCCAGGTATCTAATTTTGGCTGACTATCGCAAATTTTAAACCTATCTATGGCATATAAGATGCAAAGAAATTTTAAAGGATATTTTTAGTAAAAAATAGTGTGCCTTATATGCTATGAAATACAATAAATTTTCCAACATTTTTTGGTATTGTGGGAGTAAGAGAGTGCAAAAATTGTCCATATTATCCATTGTCCCAAATGCTTTCAGCCATTTCTTTAGCTATTTTTAAGAGGGTTTGTTTTTAGGTGTTCTTAATTTATTTACATATTTGACTGTTCAAGACGTGGTTTTTTTTTGCTGTTTAAATACTAGTGTCTATTCTGAGCTTTGCGAGCTCACGGCTAGAATTCGAGTTGGCATCTTTCTCTTTTTAAGAAAACACACACGATTTACATTACTGAATACACTATGTAAAAATGTAAATGTCAGAAAAACTAAATAAAACATTCATCAAATTTTACTTGTCTGTCATATTCAATGAAACACACACACACACATATATATATATATATATATATATATATATACATATAAATAATACCTGGATACTCATATTCGAGGATATCCGTCTACTAGGGCAGCAAGCCTATCCCTATTGGAGACTCTTGCTCAGGCACAGTTACGTTTGTTCAACAGCTACAGAGCCAACCTGTGTATATACTGCAACTATGCTGAGCAGACCTTAGTTACAGTTTTTGGGAGAGAGCATGTTATCTATTATGATCAACAATCTGAACAACGCCAGCACACTTCATGCTAGCACAGCTATCGACGACTCCCAAGTGTTCCATCAAGCCAATTTCACTCACAAGGCTTGGGTCAACCTGTGGTATGGTTTTCAGGAACTTTCCAAAGGTGCCACATGCTGGGATCATCCCCCTTGCAGACAAATAACGCCAGAAAGTCTCCTTCCTGACAAATCAACAGTGTTGAGATTCAAGCCTGGGTCTCATGGTCAGAAAGTGAACATTCTAACCACTCAGCCATGTGCCTATATATATATATATATATATATAATATACACATATACACACATGGAATAAAGGCATGATTAAAGTTAACTGAAATCTACATAATGAAAGTTATAATAAATTTCTTTAAATTTTGATTTACATATTTATGGCTTCTCATAAGCAGACGTCTTAGCATCTTTTATATATTTAAAGAACTTACTTGTCTTTGTCCACTGGTTCCCGCAGTTTATTCACTTCTTCTGCTGCTTTGTATCTCATTATTCGATGAACATTCTCAAAGTATTGCCCAGGCTTCACGGTTAACTAAAATAAAAAAAAACAATATTTTAATGTGCAAGAATTTCACATCAATTTCCAATACTTTTTGTATAAATGTCAACAGTAAATATGTGATTAACATTTATCATTGAATTGAAAATATTCAAAATTGTGAGATGGTAAAATGTTTTTCAATACTGAACCTGTTACTTTTCAAATGGTCTTAATTAAATAGATAATAATTCCTTTTCAGTAATTTGTACATTGTCTTCATTCTGTCTTCTACATAATGCACTGTGACTGACCCACTCTGCTTTCCATTGAAGCTATTTAGTCTCCAGGGAACAATCGCCATTGTTCTCACTTTAGCCTACAGGCATGAGGAACAAGTAGAGTTGGTGCCAAAGGTCTTAATAATACTTTCAGTTACAGGTTTACATCTGTTTTTGCAAATATGTGAGGTAAATACAAGAAGAGTTTTCAAAACAGAGGAAAGGAAAGAGTCTAACTACAACACCATAAATTGTGGAACACATGATCTACCATAGATCACAGAGCCAATCTGAGAGAGAGAGAGAGAGAGAGTGAAAAAGATAAATTGAATCAATCAAAGAGAGAGAGAGAAAAATGGAATTAAAGTGAGAGAGAGTATGAAAGGGATACGTGGAATCAATCATATATATATATATATATTTTGAACAATAAGAAAATAAAAAATTAAAATCTTTAGACACACTGGGTTGTAGATTAATATTCTTTCGTTTTTTTATTATAATTCCATTTAGATTCCTCGACTAGTTTCGACCGAAATGGCCATCATCGGGAGGAGAAATATTTCTGCTTGCTGGTAGCAGTGAACTACAGAAATGAATGTCTTGATGGAGAAAATGAACTTTTTGTCTGTAGTTTTCATTTGTTTTTTATTTTTATTTTCTTATCTTTTTAACATGAATCTTTAACATTCCTTGTGTTGGTCAAACAGTCTCTTTTAAGTTGTTATCTGAAATAAGAGCTGGATAGATACATATTATTCTGAATTCTCTGGTCAGTTTGACAGTTTTATTAAACCTGGTGAGGGGATGTGTCTCTGTTTAGTGTTTGTGTGTGTGTTACTTGGTTCTTAGGGAGTGAGTGAGTATGATATGTGTAAGTGGGTGTATTGCTGTAGGTGTGTGTTATCATTTGGCTCCTTAGGGAGTGAGTGAGTATGATGTGTGTAAGTGTGTATATTCATGTGGGTGTGTGTATAAGTGTGAGGCCTCCACACCTCCGTAAGCATGTCTGTCTTGTGTGGGTGAGAAGTGTAGGTAGGTTTTGATTTGTTGACTATCTATATGTTGTTAAATTTATGATTTAGCCCGGCTGGATATTGTGTTTTTAGACGTTGTATCCACTTATTTTCATGGGACTCTAAAATCTTTCTAATGTTATCTGCTCTGAACTTTTCTATTCTCTCAATTATAGTGAATTTGGCATGGGTTTTGAAATCATGTTTTTCCAGGTGGAAATGTTGTTCTACAGGTAATAATTTTTCATGGGGAGTCGATTTAATTCGCTTACGATAATTATTAATTCTGTAGTGAAAGGGCCATTCAGATTTTCCTACATATTGTTTCTGGCATAGTGTGCATATATAGTGTGCAAATGGAATCAGTGGGAGAAAGAGAGAGAAAGTAATAAATGGAATCAATCAGAAAGACAGAGAGAACAATATAAATGGAATCAGTAAGAGAGAAAGACATAAAAGGAATCAATCAGAGAGAGAGAGAGAAAGTGATAAATGGAATCAATCAGAGAGAAAGAGAGAAAGTGATAAATGGAATCAAAGAGACAGAGAGAGAAAGAAAGATAAATTTAATCAATGAGAGAGAGAAAGAATGTGATAAATGGAATCAAAGAGAGAGAAAGAGATAAATGGAGCCAATCAGAGAGAGAGAAAGAAAGATAAATTTAATCAATCAAAGAGAGAGAGAGAGAGAGAAAGTGATAAATGGAATCAAAGAGGGAGAGAGAGAAAAAGATAAATGGAGCTAATCAGAGGAGGCCTACAAATGGAGCCAAGTAGCCAATTGGAGAGAAACAAATTGAATCCATCAAAAAAAAAAAAAAAAAAAAAAAAAAATGTAGATGATTAGAGAAAGAGTGTGAGAGTGTGGCATAACTAAGAGACTAAAAATGGAGTCAAATGGAAGAAGAGGGGGTAAAAAGCCATTTTCATCTTCACAAAGTAAAAAAAAAAAATAAATCTAACAATGAAACCAATCAAAGAGTCGGGATAAAGAATTAGAACAAAGCAAAAATCGTGATGAAATCTAACAACGTTAAATAAACAAAACTTTTTACAAGTAAAATAAAAAGTTAAAATCATTTTCTGAACAGTTTTCATTAAGAATCTGAATAAAATATTCTTCTTCACTCACTGATTTATAAAGTTCATCCAATTTTGGTTTTTCTAAAATAAATTCTGGGTATCCAATTCTGTCTTTCATCGTATGAACCTGAAATAAAGAAATGAATTTTTATTAGGAGAATTTTGAGATGCATTAAATTATTTTTGAAAGTATTTTCCTTTGTCTCTGTTGAGCAAGAACTGAACCAATTGATTATTTTGAGGATTGTCCAAATGTCATTCACAAATTACAAAAATAATATCTTTTTTGCATTCAGATTTAAAATTTTATAACATTCTGTATTTTTGAATGTTCATAAAATTATCAAGATTTCCAAGAAATATTTACGATTTTCTTGGAACATTTCATAAATATTCCCAAGAAAATAACTGATTTTAGAGATAATCATTTCCCTTCTTTTTTTAACACATTTGTTCCAGTCCAGGATTATGTTCTGTAAAATAAATAAAAACATCTTTGTTTTTTTCAAGTTGGAATTGTTTATCCAGTCTTTCCTATGGTGGCAAAAGCCGTCAATTATTGCTTATTGAAAGACAAAATACAGAGATTTATTGAAATCAAAAGAAATTATTTTAATTAAATTCAAACTATTTATGCTAACATCCAACAAATAATGGAAACAGAAATAACAATTTAGAATATTTCTTAGAAATTGCTGAACATTGCCATAAAGAGATAAAATCTTTTTTTGATTCTTGAACAAACATTAAATTGTCACTTAAATTAAAAATCTCTTATTAATTACAAAATAAACATCAGGAAATGACAGAATTGAGTCTACAAATAAGGAGATAAATTTGGAAAATTAGATGCATGTCATGTGAAATGTTTAAAAAGGGTTTAGAATCCGAAATCAGCAGAATTTGAAAGAATAAATAAAGATGGAATCAGTTGAAAACATCAAATAGAAACAAATGTAACCGGCACTGAATTTAACCATTTTCATTATTTACAATCAGAGTACTGTTCTCATTGTTGTTAAGATCATAACATTTCAGTTGTTGTTCCCTTTGGCCTTCATCAGATGCTTGCCAATCCAGGTAATCTAAAGGGAATTTTGAACTGAACTCTGTTTAATTTATGGATGTAGATTGTTTGCATTCGGTTGACCATAGGGTTATTGTCTCATTTAGTTCTTATTTAGTACTGCTTGGTTACTGCTCACCCTATTTCCACTGAGTCTAAGTCATCAAATTCACAAAGTAATGTTTTAATCCATTAGGCTCTTGTCCTGTGGGACAATAATGAGTGTATAACTTGGCTGCTTAAATATAATCTGCCTGCTAATACTTGTCATGCATTCACTGAGTCTTCTCCATTCTTACTGCTGCTGCTGACCATATTTGTTGGCATATATATTAGATGACTCAAAAATTGATATATGCGGCTTATATTAGCTCAAATGTCAAATACTGTCAATACTTATACCAAAGCTAATTTCATAACCATCTTCTAAAAAAATAAATGACAAATTCTATTTGTCCACCCATTTACCTGAAATCCCTCTAAGTCAGGTCACCCTTGCTTTACATAGATATGTTACAAAAATTGGTTGGAAGCACACACAGGAAAAGAAAGGTAGGACAAGTCCAATAATTTCACTTGGCAAAACGAATCCACACTTCTTGTCTCGATCTCCAATACACCACTCACCAACCCAAACGACAAGCTCAACAACTGTTAATTGAGGGTACTATGTTTTTATACACCTGACCCAGCCAACATTTAGCCAATGAGCGCCCAGAACCAGCCAATAAAAATGGCTACAAGTGACACCATCACTTCCATCAGCATGAAATGCTGCCCGATTCACGGTGTCTGAAGCTCACCGACTCTGGTCCTTTTGGGTCACCGCTACAATATATTATACCTATTTGAAATCAGGATGATCCCAGGATTGAAAATTTGCCCTTCATATTTTTTAAATAAGTGAAAAAAATTAGTGATTTTAAAAGTTTTTAATTTATATTGAATTTTGGCCCAAATCAGTCTGTTGGCCAGAATTGGACTTATAGCTTGAATCAGATTTAAAGTCAGGTTTTGAAGTTCCATGGAGTGAATTGAAGAAATCAAAGTTATTTCCTCAAAATTATCATTACTGTTTTCTAGGCTGGACCAAAGGTCCTTTTAGTTTTAAGCTGGAGGTCCAATTAGCTCTCTGACAGATCTAGCTTAAAAGTCTGGACGAGGTGAGTTTTTAAGCTAGTATTGTAATATAGGATAATAATGAGGAGAGTCTGCACAATCCTTTTAAGTGTGCTATGAAATATTGTCATGACATACACGTGTGTGTGTGTGTGTGTGTGTGTGCTGAAGTAGTAATGGTACAGCATTAGTATTTTACTAAATAAGCTGCTCAAATAGTTAAATAGAAATATTGAAATAAAATAAGTTCATATTTGTGTGTCTATTTTTTAAATCTATGGTTTTATTTCATAATATTTAAATGTATATCCTTTAAAAATTTTACTAAGTGTGCCATGATATTTTAATTTGCTTCAAAGTGTGCCACTGCTTAAAAAGGTCAACAAATGCTAAAATAACGTTTTTCTAATTTGTCATGTTAAACATTAAAAAAATGCCACTTATGATGAAAATAATGATGGTGATGATCATCCTCAGCTTTGTAACACTAAGGGTTGTACAATTATGCAATGATAGTGAAGATGACATACACAGCATCACCCTCACATTCTATTCTTAGTCTACTGTTATAGTGAATAAGATGGAAGACCATATAATTTCAGAAAAAAGATCTTCATTTGGTTTTTCATGAGAGGTTACAAAAGGACAGTATATATTAGATTAATGATTAACATAACAGAAAACATTCTTCATCCTGAATCCTCATGAATAGAGAGAAAGAGATGTCTTATTGTTCATTCTTTTCTGTTTATATGTTGGGTACAGATAAATTTAAATCTTATAATAAAATGAATCAATAAGTAAATAAATAAAAGTATTTAAGTTACATTTATGCAGTTCATGCCAACAAATATGGTAAGTAAACAATGATGAGAATATTAAATAGATAATATACTGTTATAGTGGAACACACCTATTCTATTGTTAATAGACTCTCCCACCTATAACAAGTAGGAGTAGTAGCAGTTGCTCAATGGAGTTGCTCAGTCAGTCGATGTCGGACGACCATTAATCGGATACTAAAAGTATCAGTGACCACCACTAGATTTCTCTGTGTCATTACCTATTATATCAAGTTTCTAACATTTTGTACATCGAACCTATTTTAGGACCGACTTAGTACAAATATAAGATTCCACTGTGAAACTACTCTACAACATATACATAATTCTAAATATCCAATTATATAAACTATATACATAAATAATATAATATAATAATAATAATAATAATAATCACTTCTTTTAAGGTTTTCTTTGAATCCATTTTTTCCTTCAAGGAGAAATAGAAAACATGACCGTCTGCTTTGGCAGTTGGTGTTTATCATCAAAATAGATCAAAAGGCTGATGAGCCAACAGGAATCTCTCCTTGCCAGTATTATTCATCAGAAGATGTCATGATTTGGCCATATCACATGGCATCACACAGACTCTGCAAGTCCATCATGCAAGGCGCTGTTGAAGGTGGACATAAGCGGGGACAGCAATACAAGAGCTGTCAGACAACATCAAAGATTGGGTGGATATGACAATGCCAGAACTCCTGCCAACTGATCTCCCTGGAGAAGGTTGTCTGTTTCTTCTGTCCTTAGGTCCTCCCACTCTTGACAATTGAAGCAGTCAAGGGACTGAGGATGATGATGAGGATGATGATGATGAATGATATATAAAAATTTCCAGCATTAAGTCATTTTCAATTTTGCATTCAGTTACTAGTTTAAAAAAAAAAGTCTGAGAATATTTGCAACCCTAATATTCTTTACTCCACCCTCCATCTTCGAGATGTAAAACTTGATATCAATTCAAAAACTGATGACTCATGTGAAAACATTTCATTTTGCCACTGAAGAGAATAAACTTTCCAAACATTTTGTTGACAGCATATTTAGTGCCTTCATCATATTTGGCAGCACATGTCTTCATTTTATTAACAGATCAACAAATGCTTCCAACATACTAATTTGAGAGCACAAATTTCTTCAATTCATTATTTGACAGCAGAATTAGTGATAAACATTTTACTATATGTAGCAGAACTATTGATTTCATTCTGAAATTTGACAGCATGAGTGCCTTAAAATGGTTCACACCCTGTGGAGATTACTCCCACCTAGTCTGCAAAGATAACTGCTAGATGGGGCTGTTTTAGGACTATAAAGGAGAGAATGATTAGATTTACCTATCGCCCAGTTCACACCCTCTCTGGTCTTTAAACAAGTGTAGAGGTTTATCCCTTGTTACATGTTTGATTGGGTTTCTGGTTCCTTCTAAAGTCTTTTCGTTCTCTTTCACTTCCAGTAGCCCGTTGCATCTTAGTAGCATTAGTGCTGTGCTTGGGGTGGATTGATTAATTTTTTTTTTTTCTTCAATAGTAGAAGACAGGTTTGCCTATTTACACACCTTCCTAGTCTTTTAAACAGGAGGAGAGGTTTATCACTTGTTTTACTATTTAGGATTGGGCTTCTGGTTCCTCCTGAAGTGAACTTCAACTCTAGACTTTTTTTCTCTTTTTCTTCTGGATATAGTAGAGATAACAAAGCACTCTTCTCTCTGAAGTGAGGACTTCTCTTAGTTGGCTGGCAGTCTTCATTTCAAACGAACCATGTGAACACACCACACACTTTTTCTAACAGAAAAGTCAGTAATGTTTCTCCTTTCCTTTTCAGCTGTGTATAATTTAGAATATTTTCTCTCTTCTTGTATTGTTGCTCTTTATATAAAAATATATGTTAAATTCCTCAATATGTTGAACTTTATTCCTTTTGAAAATGATGAATTCAACTTCTTTCAGTTTTCAACCTCAATTCCATCTTTTACAATCTGTACACAACAATTGAACCAAATGCCTTAATTTCTATTTTTGACAGAACAACTATTCATTTTATTTATCACATTTTGTTATTTAACAAAACAAATGTTTTCATTTTATTTGACAACATAATGAGATTATATTTAACAACACAATAAATTACATCATTATGTAATTTAGAATGGTTGCAACATTCACACAATATAAATTCCCTGAAATATTTTCATTCAGTTATTTATATGGCATCAGGACGGATTTTTAAAAAAATCAATTCAATAAAGACTAAATTATATATATATATAAATATATATATATATATATATATAGGTAAGAATGCCATATATATATATATATATATATATATATATATAGGTAAGAATGTAAGGAGGCACGGTAGAGTAATGGATAGCGGCTTGGATTGAGGAATCGCAGAGCCAAGTTCGAATTCCCGTCGAATCCATTACATTCACTTACATGCTAATACCCTTGGGAAAGGTATGAATCCTCTTCCTCCAGCTATGGGTAAAATAGCAGGACAGACTGGGTTCTGTAGCCTTGGATGGCAACTGGTCTAGGAGAAGGACAACTCTGAATTCAAAACCTGCTGAGTCGTTTGGGAACCTTGTGGCATTTGGTGCACCAGGTCTCTGTATTCGTCCCTTCAAAAAGTGTGGATGGTCCTGCACGAAGCCTTCACCATTATAATCAAATCTCATGTGCCGGTGTCGGGCTGTCAGTTTCTTGGAAACTGATCTGCTTGACCCTCATATGTCAAATCTCGACAGAGAGTCGATTATAGGTAAGAATCCATGGGTAAGTAATCCAAGTGAATCATAATAATATAAAATATTAAAACTGATCCAAAAATAGAGCTCAATGTATTTATTACAGAGCATATATGTAAATTACAAATAAATTAAATGTTTATAATTGGTAACAGAAGCCATTGGTTTATACCAACAGCTTCCCATACTTAATACTTTTCGAATTCACTCTCGCATGGTCATGTGTGACATCATGAGCTGTGGTGCGATTTTCGCTTCCAGCATCTTATATGCCCGTGTTTATTGTTGCTTGGAAATCATCCATTTAAACAGAAACAGACTATCATCACTTTCTTGTCCGTGTATTGCATAATATATTGTACTGTAATTGTCATCTTTGATAATGGCTTATGTAAGCCGAAAGCTTAGATTGGATTAAAAAATATGTATCAATATTGTGATTTTCTTTCTTTGTTAAATGATAATGTTATTAAGATTATCAGACGTTATGAAAAGAATTTACATAAAATAAATAGACAACAATTGTCTATATTATTTAATGAAACATGTATGAATGAAAAAATACTGCCTAAATTCACACAATTTAAATTACAAATAATATACAATTATTTTTATATATATATATATATATATATATATATATATATATATATATATATATATATTACAAATAATTTCAATTTCATTTCTTTGGAATTTACATATATATATACTCTGTAATAAATACATTAAGCTCTAATGATATATATATATATATATATATATATATATATATATATATATATATATATGGGCAAAAATGTATGACTAAATAGAAAAAGTTTCCTTGAGAGGCATTTCATTGGACTAAATTTGTTATGTTGGTGTGTCTACACATGTGCAATAATGATGCTGGGAATTTTTAATTTTTAATATTTTTTTTGTTTTATAATCTAGCCAATTTCATTTAGATTCATTTTCTTTGTTCCATCACTTTTGGTAGTAGATATCCCACACTGGGATAATTGAAGTTCTACCAGGAATAGTGACATGTTGTAAGAGTCCGGACACCAATTTACTGTAGATGCACTCTCTAGACATTTTTGTCGTAGGGAATTGTTTTCTCTTTTGATCAGAGTAGCATTTTTTATGACAAAATTGTGGTCAGTCTCATTACGGTAGGTAACCAATGCATTCCTTCATATATAAAAATATATATTGTTATTTCTCTCTTTCTCTGTATGTATATAAATTTTTTTTTTTTTTTTTGAAGATTGCTACACTCGTGATAAGATATCTTATACTCCCACCAATCACTAACACAAACCCATTCTCATTAACAAGGTGTCTATCAGAGGAGGACTGACATTGAAAATAAATTTAAAACAATTCTTCAAGACAGACACTTAGGGACTGATGATAGCCACAGACAGAACGGCTTGAAATAGACTATCTCTATGTTGAGGTAATTTTTGTTTTCCTGCTGTAAATAAATACATGTGCTCTGTTAAAATAAAAACATTGAGCTCTCTGTGGATCAATTTTAATAATTAATATTACTAGGATCCACCCATATTATATACCAATGGATTGATTACCTGTACTATATATATATATATATATATATATATATATAAAGTGAACATAGAAGTCAACACTTAGAGGCGACAGTCTGTTTCATGCTATATGCATTGCATATAGCATGAAACAGACTGTCGCCTCTAAGTGTTGACTTCTATGTTCACTTTTATATTTACACACGCCTATCTCTGATATTGAGCACTTTATCCCATAAATATAGCACACCTTAAGACTATATTTCTTATATATATATATATATATATATATATATATAAAGAAGCTATGTAAATGAAAGAAATGGACTTACTTTTTCCCTGGCAAAATATTTAGTTTCTTGGTCCATCCATGTATTTTCCTTCAAGAGTTCTGTAAATGCATTGCGAATATTGGTGATCATTTCCAGAGCCTTCAAAAAAAATAAAAATAAAAAAAAATGATTCTTTGTTCAGTGTCAGAAATAGATAAAATTTCTTTTCAAGATTTGAATATCTTTGAAAAATTCTATTTTCTGACCCAAATTTAAAATGATGTAAAATTTTAGAGCTTGACCCTAATCTGCAAAGTCAAACCACATCTTCACCATCACATAATTTTACACTGGTGTCCAAAAATAAAATGGTAGCATGCAAATAGAAAATCAAAACATTCATTAATAAAAAAAAAAATTACATTGTATACAACAATTATGTGTTTTTTAATACCATCATTCATCCAATTAAAGGCCCAAGAGCCACTTAAGATAGAAGGTTACCGAATTAGGTTGTTGTAGAGAAGTAAGAAGTGTAGATTATGAGAATATATAGAACAGATAATGGTTGTCCCCTAGATTCAAAGAGGTCACGATTGTATGGATTTTGGGGAAGTATCTTCACATCAGTCTGTTTCACAAAGTTCTTCTTAGGAAGAAAAGCTGTATGAGTGGAACTTCCTCTTTACTAATGGAATATGAAAACAATAAGACCCTAGTATATGTGACATGGCTTATCCAAGCTGTAAAATTCTTAACTGGTAGAACTAAGGAATGTAGCTTGTCTGAAAATTTACCCTGGAAATAATGATAGTCTTCGAAGGCTAGAAACATTTCATCTGTGGGAAAGGTGCTGTAGGCTGGGAAATAATTCATCACTCACAGGGCCATCTAAATGATTTTGAATTCTGTCAAAACTGGAAAGAGAGGATTGGGGAAACTCTAGCCCAAATATGACAGCAAGACTCCATTTTTTGGTTAAATCTGATTCTTGTAAATATAGAACATGTCAAGTTGAGTTTGGCACTTTCTGCAATGACACAAGGGACTGACCATTTTAAATGGTCAAGTTTATCTGACGACAAATTAATTACATTTACATTTTAAACAAGCAAGTATAGAAATTACAAAGTGTATACAGAGATAAATCCCTACGTCAATAACCCAAGCATAAAAAAGAAAATCTGTGATGAATAAAGTCCCAATGAATATTTGCTGAGCAAGTACACTTCAATATACTGACAAATGTGGTTGACTAGGCACTTTATACTACATTTTTTTTATTATGTCCATATTAGTGTTGTCCTCTTTCAGCCACAGATGTCACCGTTATATTCCTTGAATACAGTCTATAACTTACACTAAGCTACATTGATGTATATATATACTTTCCAGTTTCTTTAATCCTCAGTGAACTATCTACATAGCCCACTAAAAAAGTATTCACACTTGTTCTGATGATTGCATTGAAGTATAAAACTGACAGTAACTATACAGTCTTGATTCCTATGTCTACACTGTCACACACACATAGATAACACGGTCTCTCTCAAAAACTATAACTAAGGTCTGCTCAGTATAGTTGCACTGTAAACCAGAGGTGGGCTCTGTAGGTGTTGAACAAACACAAATATGCCTGAGTGAGCGTCTGCAATAGGGATTGACTAGCCACTCTAGTAGACAGGTATCCTTGAATAGGAGTGGCCAGCTATTACATATATATATATATATATATATATATATATATATATATATATATATATATGAAAAAATCTCTCAGAGTTAACCTGTAGAAAAAGACAATATGTATAAAGATAAAAGACAATAGGAAAATTGTATTATTAGCTGATGTGTTTCAGTTTTTGCCTTGAAAAATTCCACATTGATGAAATGTGCCTATATATATATATATATATATATATATATATATATATATATATATATATATGGATAGATGTGAACTCACATCTATCCATCCAAATATGTTAGCTCTATCTCTGATATTGAGCGCTTTCTAATAAGTAAAGTACCACATATAATATATAAATAATTATACATATATATATTTATTTATATTTATATACACTTTCACACACACACACACACACACACACACACATATATATATATATATATATATATATTATTTTTAAAGTTTGCTTTTATTTATGAAGGAATAGTGCTCAACATTGTGAAGAGAGCATTTGTAGACACAAACACCTTAAGCAATCACCAGACCATGTGTGACTAATATATATATATATATATATATATATAAGCCACTGGTTATTTTATTAAATAGTTCTTCTACTAGTTTTTATTTAGGGCAAATGTTTACATCATTTGTAGCCCTGCTCTTGAGTTTATTGTAATTATTTTTATTCTATTATCAGAATCAGGTCTAGTCACTGAATAGTCCAATGTCATTTGACTGTCCAGATGACCCACTTGTGTCATTACTGGAAACATTCGAGATGGTGTTGTGATGTAAATGAAAGTCTGGCTTGAGATACATTTGCCTGTACTCCTGCTGCATATATTGTGTCAGTTTTGGTAAGCATCTATAATATACAGTCATCCAGAAGCTGATAAAGATGTTAATTTGACCACTGTTACTAAATCTGAAAAAACACCATCACATCCAGCATATATAATGATTCTCTGAAATGACCATCCAGTGTCTCAAAGACATTTCTTTTTCTTTCTCTTTCTGCTGAAAAAAAATCAAACTGTGCCTGAGCATGTGTCTACAACAGGGATTAGCATACATGAAAATGAGTGGCATATGCATGCAAGGATTCCTACAAAACACATCTACACAAACATAAACCATACCTATAAGTATTTCCACATTAATCTGTAAATGTTTACTTTTTTTATTTCATTAACAAGCAACATATACTTCATTCACATTACTTTAAACATTATATTTTAGTGGATGCACATGTTTGAATAAACGTCCTGTTTTATTTTGTTTTTTTAACTGGCCTGTACATTCAAGAGTCTTAAGGTAGCTTTTAGCAGGGTGCAAATCTGCATTCTCCTTTGTAAGATCTACTTTGTTTTAGACTGCTCAGACACAGGGAGATTCACAGTCCAGAAAGTTTCAATTACCATTTGAAAAAATGCATATGTTCTTGTTAAGACTCTCAAATGCACAGGATGGTAGATGTAATTGACACTGTTAAAAAAACAAAGCTTCTACTCAAGCACATGTATCTACTAAAATTTAAGGTTAAAAGTACCATATAGCCTTGTGTATATAAGGTGACCTTTAAATCTTAAAAATTACCCCTACCCCCCAAAATAGGGGGTGGTCAACTAATACAACAGTTACAAAAAGCTAACCTCAAATCCTGTGGTGTATCAGCACTGGTAAGCAGGCTAGTATGTTTGCACCATAGATCGATGTAGGCTACCAACTGCCTCGGTATGGTAACTACCAATGTAAATATTTCTATTTGAAACACTTTGTTTTATAATGCCGTATACAGTTATAAATATAATAAAACTAATTTTAATTCTTGATTTCATATTAAAATGCAATATTCAAGAGTCAACTACACAACAAATTGCAAAAGTTCTGCTGAGCAACATGCAAAAGTAATGTAAACAAATATTTTATTCTTGATCTGTAAATCTATGGATGCATTCCCACCAATCATTATTTCTCGTAGTAGTGTTAAATAACAACATTTACGATAACATACAATCTGTATTTCTAATTAAAATTCATTATCATTGTGGTGTTAAATAATAACATTTTGCATAATATATACATTTTTAATAACATAAATTATATGGTATTTTTCTGTTGTTAAGCAACAAAGCCTTTAAGATGCGATAAAATCTTCATTTCTCATTACAGAATGAAAAATATAAAAGACACTCACATACATAATTAAAACCATTCAAAATTACTATAATCATCACCATCTGATGCAAAGAGCTCATCATCATCATCATTTACAGTTTTATCATATGAGTCCAAGTTGATAGTCTTATACTATGGCTATCAGTTAAAAATCACAAAAATTTACCTAGATTTTGGGTCTTGTCTAATATATAGGTCGCGTTATATGTGGAAATGTACAGTAATAATAGATAAGGTCATGTTAAAAATAAAATCCATGAATTCCTTAGAAATTATTTTACATTTTGGATATAAAAATAAAGTCTACAGATATGGGCTTTTCAGAAGATCTGAATACATTTCTTAAAAGACTAATTGAATCTTGCTAGAGTGTGATGCTCTCTGTAATTAAGTGTTTTCAAATGGACAGGACAGTATATGGAATTGACACTGTTTAAAAAAAACAGGGTGTCTACTCAAACATGTGTATCCACTAAAATATAACATTTAAAATAATCATAAATAACATTGGATTAAAATAATTACTTAGAAAATACTTCCATCTCCAAATTCCATATTCTTCGACTGGCAAATAAGATATGAATGTGCAGGTGGTGCAATGGTGACAAATACAGAAAATGAAATCAGCAAACTAAGTTCAAATTTCAGTTTACTGTGTTGCATTTAATTTGTATGAATGCCCTTGGAAATGTCAGGAAACCATCTTTTCTTCACCATCTCTAGGCTACAAGTTAGACTGGGCATTCTAGCCTTGGCTAACAACCAGTCTAGAAGAAAACCAACTCTGAATCAGTTGATGCATGGTGCTAGCAACTCCACTCTATCCCCATAAAACCCTACAGCAACATACATTGTGTTGTGCTGTTGCAGCATTTATATATATATATTAAATAAGGTGTATTTAGCCAGCCATAAGTCATTCAATGTGACAGTTGAAAGAAGTTGAATATAACAATTTATTCAAAACTTTAATACCGATGTACAACACTTTGTTCAGAAATTGAAAAGTTATAATAAAATGTTGAACAAAATTGGTGACATTTAATAAAATTTGTTATATAAGAGGCAAATAACTATAAATTCTAGGAAACTTGAGAGGTGACAGGCTCAGCAAACATTGGTGACATCAAATGAAAATCATATTGAAATATTCTGATAATAATGATGGCAATCTATTTGATAAAAAACAAATTTAAAAATTTTGTAGATTTAGTGGCCAGGGTTAAATGTAAATAAATGGAGGAACTGCCCAAAAATCAGAACTGACAAAGTTTTGTAATAATAA